GCACCAATAAAGCAACAGTACCAATAAAGCATCAGCACCAATAAAGCAACAGTACCAATAAAGCATCAGCACCAATAAAGCAACAGTACCAATAAAGCATCAGCACCAATAAAGCACCAGCACCAATAAAGCAACAGTACCAATAAAGCATCAGCACCAATAAAGCAACAGTACCAATAAAGCATCAGCACCAATAAAGCACCAGCACCAATAAAGCATCAGCACCAATAAAGCATCAGCACCAATAAAGCAACAGTACCAATAAAGCAACAGTACCAATAAAGCACCAGCACCAATAAAGCATCAGCACCAATAAAGCAACAGTACCAATAAAGTACCAGCACCAATAAAGCACCAGTACCAATAAAGCACCAGTACCAATAAAGCACCAGTACCAATAAAGCACCAGTACCAATAAAGCACCAGCACCAATAAAGCACCAGTACCAATAAAGCACCAGTACCAATAAAGCACCAGTACCAATAAAGCACCAGTACCAATAAAGCACCAGTACCAATAAAGCACCAGCACCAATAAAGCATCAGTACCAATAAAGCACCAGTACCAATAAAGCACCAGTACCAATAAAGCACCAGTACCAATAAAGCACCAGTACCAATAAAGCACCAGTACCAATAAAGCATCAGTACCAATAAAGCATCAGCACCAATAAAGCACCAGCACCAATAAAGCATCAGCACCAATAAAGCATCAGCACCAATAAAGCACCGACCACATTAAATAATAAACCTAATCAGCCATCTGGAGCTTTGCATATAAATGTAATTATTGTTCAACACAGCAGACGCAGACCCGCCAGACGTCACCAACACAGCAGACGCAGACCCACCTGACGTCACCACCACAGCAGACGCAGACCCACCTGACGTCACCACTACAGCAGACGCAGACCCACCTGACGTCACCACCACAGCAGACGCAGACCCACCTGACGTCACCACCACAGCAGACGCAGACCCGCCAGACGTCACCACCACAGCAGACGCAGACCCACCTGACGTCACCACCACAGCAGACGCAGACCCACCTGACGTCACCACCACAGCAGACGCAGACCCACCTGGCGTCACCACCACAGCAGACGCAGACCCACCTGACGTCACCACCACAGCAGACGCAGACCCACCTGGCGTCACCACCACAGCAGACGCAGACCCACCTGACGTCACCACCACAGCAGACGCAGACCCACCTGGCGTCACCACCACAGCAGACGCAGACCCACCTGGCGTCACCACCACAGCAGACGCAGACCCACCTGGCGTCACCACCACAGCAGACGCAGACCCACCTGGCGTCACCACCACAGCAGACGCAGACCCACCTGGCGTCACCACCACAGCAGACGCAGACCCACCTGGCGTCACCACCACAGCAGACGCAGACCCACCTGTCGTCACCACCACAGCAGACGCAGACCCACCTGGCGTCACCACCACAGCAGCCAGAGGGCTAACAACCTCACATTCCAGCACCACTCTTACCACTACCACTTAAGGGCTACTCATGCCCGTGCCAGCTATTGACTGACTTAATGCTCATCAATCAACACGACTGACAGCTCGTCAACACGACTCATTTGCAATTCAGACAATGAATCCAAATCCAGCATAGTACCATGGAGCAAGTGGCCCAATCGTCACCACACTTCCAACATGTTTTAGGTTCAGATCAATAATAATAATAATATTTCTCTACACATTCCGATCTTTTACTGAACGTCACATCAAGAAAGTCTGGCGAGGGCCAAGCTTTCTAGAATCAGAAGGCGGGTTAAAAACTGGTATCCAAAGTGTTGGATTAAAACTTTGGTTCAAAGATGTTGGTTTAAGGTTTGAATTCCAGGCGAGAGGACTGAGATTTGGTTTCCAGGATGGTGGGTTGAGTCTCGGCTTCCAGGATACTGGGCCAAGTCTCGGCTTCCAGGATGCTGGGCCAAGTCTCGGCTTCCAGGATGCTGGGGCAAATCTCTGCTTCCAGGATACTGGGCCAAGTCTCGGCTTCCAGGATGCTGGGGCAAATCTCTGCTTCCAGGAGGGTCAAAACTGTGCTTCCAAGGGGGGTGCTTTTGACATGTGGAGGCCTGGCTTTGTGGCGGTGCACATTTAGGAAGGTAAAAATCACTGTTTCAGAGTTACTGAGTCTTCACACACGTTACTGTTGAGCTAGAGACAAGCTAGTACACCCGGGTAACATCACCTAAACTCATCCCACATCTTCACCTTTACTTGAATTAGTAGTAAAAACTAATTATATTTAGTGCAGTCTCATTGTAAACAAAATAAAATGCATCAGTGTATAAAGCACAGTAAAAATAATGTTTCAGCAAAAGATCTCAGTAAAGAGCATGTAGCATCAAAGACAAATTGTCAAAATAAAAAAGCATCAACACCAAAAATCGTTTAATGACGGACTTGTTATACGTTTAGTCTACATGTAAACCGTGTTAGACCAGTGTGGTAGGGTCGGGTATACTGACCTTCTGAGGAAGGGATGATGACGATCTCCGAGGGCGTCTCCAAGTCCCCGTCCTTGGCCACCATTCTGATCTCGTAGGTCCTCCGAGGGTCCAGACCAGAGATGGTCTGGTGGAGGTTGGCCCGCTCCACCGGCGACGATTTCCAGTGTTCAGTTCCCTTCACCCTGTTGCCGTCAGCCGTGGGGGTTACAAATCGCCCAGATTCCGTTAGGTTAAGTTAGGTCAGTCTAAGTTAGGTCAAGCTAGGTTAAGTTAGGTCAGGCTAGGTTAGGTCAAGCTAGGTTACGTTAGGTAAGGCTAGGTTAGGTCAAGCTAGGTTACGTTAGGTCAGGCTAGGTTAGGTCAGGCTAGGTTAGGTCAGACTAGGTTAGATCAGGCTAGGTTAGGTCAGGTTAGGTCAAGCTAGGTTAAGTTAGGTCAGGCTAGGTTAGGTCAGGCTAGATTAGGTCAGGCTAGGTTAGGTCAAGCCAGGCTAAGTTAGGTCAGGTTCGGTTAGGTCAAGCTAGGTTAAGTTAGGTCAGGCTAGGTTAGGTCAAGCTAGGTTACGTTAGGTCAGGCTAGGTAAGGTTAAGTTATGTCAGGCTAGGTAAGGTTAGGTCAAGTCAGGCTAGGTAAGGTTAGGTCAAGTCAGGCTAAGTTAGGTTAGGTCAAGTCAGGCTAAGTTAGGTTAGGTCAAGTCAGGCTAAGTTAGGTTAGGTCAAGCCAGGCTAAGTTAGGTCAGGCTAGGTTAATTAAGTTAGGTCCGGTTAGGCTAGGCTAGGTTAAGTTAGACCAAGTAAGGTTCAGTTTGGTTAGGTTATGTTGGGTTAGATTTGGCTAAGTTATGATAGGTTTGGTTAATTTAGGCTGTGTTAGCTTAGGTCACATTAGGTTTGATTAAAATTAGACTAGGTTAGGTTAAGTTAAGTTTGGAAAGGTATAATTAACCTAAGTTAGGTTAAATTACGATACAAAAACCATTTAATTATATCTCACGTCTTACTGTAGAATTTCTAACATTTAATAAATTTTATAAACCAATATCAATCATGTTCTAAATTAGATTAAATATTTCATATATATTTTGACTTATAATTTCCATATACATTTAGGTAATTGGTCTTCTAGTATGCTCTGATTAGAGTTTGTGTTCCTGAATTCACACACACACACACACACACACACACACACACACACACACACACACACACACACACACACACACACACACACACACACACACCAAAAAAGTAGGTTGAGGAAGCGAACTTAATTCTAAATTTAAAAAGTAGATATGATAGAAAAATAGGTTATGAGTTAATGCAACTTGAGGCAACTTGAGATCGGAAAGGTGGGATCCAAGAGCTAAAACATGATTTTACCGGAACCAGTAGATCATCTTCCCAGCCTCCAAGAAAGACTAACACGACCACTATCACCACTATCACCACCATTAATACCATCACCACTACCACTACCACCATCACAATTCCAGTATCACCGCATCACCACAACCACTAATACACAAAAGAACTTACAGACTAAGGATTCATTTGACTGTAGTGGAAGCAGACGCTGGTCCAACCTGTTCTCTTAAAAAGAACGTCGCTTTTGGCCGTTTGTCCGTACGGCCGAATATGGACGTAATTTGAAAATGAAAAAAAATGAAAATAAATTTGGGATTTTTTTTTTCAACAACAGTAAGTTAAGGGTCCTCTGATAGGTTAGGTGGGCAGGAAATTCTCAAAGTTTCAAAACGTTATGAAAAACGTGAATTGAAAGTCATCTATTCTAACCTTACCGAGTAAGCCGGACGACTCAAACAGAAAACGGAACAGTACGTCACTTTTGTGAGTCGATTTCATTTCAAATTACGTCCAAATTTGGCCATAGTGCCGCGCATACCAGCGAAAAGTGACGTTATTTTTAAGAGGACGGGTTGCTGGAAAAGCCCTGGAATGAGGCGGCCAGAGAGAATGAACATACCTGTTCTGAACATAAAAGTCGACACCTGGATGTTCATCAAAGTTGGGTCTCCAGTCGACGCGGATATCGACCCCTCGACCTTCGTCGGCAGCGTCGATATCACCATCACCATCTTTATCCGCAGCCAAGATGTCACTTCCGTCAATGTCGCCGTCTCCATCTTCATCCCCGATGTCTTTGAAGTCGACATCACCGTCGCCATCGCGGTCGGCAGCAATGATATCGTCTGAGTCGATATCGCCATCGTTATCGATATCTGCCACTGATACGTCGTCGTCATCGACGTCGCCGTCATGATCCGTATCCAGGACGTCGTCCCTATCTACGTCGCCGTCGTGGTCAGTGTCCTTGAGAAATACGTCTAGATTCTGAATGTCTGACGTGTCGATGTCTCCGTCACCATCTTTATCAGCAGCGATAAGGTCCTTCCCATCGATATCTCCATCACCATCAACGTCGACGATGTCTGCAGCATCCACATCAGCATCACCATCTCTGTCAGCGGCTCTGAGATCATCAGCATCAACATCACCATCATTATCTACATCTGCGGCGTTATGGTCACTTTCATCCACATCACCATCACCATCAAGATCAGTGACGTCGTCACGGTCGATATCACCATCCCGATCAGAATCGGATAGAAGGATACTTTCACCATCGTCATCGGCAGCATCTATGTCACCATCACCATCCTCATCAGCGGCAATTACGTCATCTCCATCTATATCACCATCACCATCTTCATCACCGATGTCAGCTTCGTCTATGTCACCATCATGGTCTCTGTCAGCGGCTCGGACATCGCTGATGTCTACATCTCCGTCATTATCGATGTCCGCTACATCAATGTCCTCCTGGTCGATGTCGCCGTCACCATCTGTGTCGAGGACGTCGGCCTTGTCAACGTCGCCGTCACCATCAGTGTCCCCGAGAATCGTCTTCCTGAGGTCGAAGTCTGTGACATCTATGTCACCATCAGCATCCCTATCCACCACATCAAGGTCATCTTCGTCGACGAAGCCGTCACCATCAATGTCACGAACGTCTGAGGAGTCGACATCGTTGTCACCATCTTTATCACCGCGTTTGACATCATCCATGTCAACATCCCCGTCATCATCAATGTCTGAGGCTTTAATGTCTTCACCATCAATGTCTCCATCACCATCTACATCAAGAACGTCGTCCTGGTCCACATCACCATCACCATCCGTGTCAGCGAGTAAAGTATTCCTGAAAGTGAAGTCCTTGGCATCAATGTCACCATCATTATCCCGATCTTCAAATTCAAGGTCATCTCCGTCGACTTTACCGTCACCATCAAGGTCAGTCACATCAGCTGCGTCAATATCGCCGTCACCATCTTTGTCAGCCACCTTGACATCATCCATGTCAACATCACCATCGTCGTCGATATCGGCGGCAGCGAAGTCCTCTGAATCGATGTCCCCATCACCATCCAGGTCAATAACATCACTGCGGTCAACATCCCCATCACCATCACGGTCTTCCAGGAGAGAATCTTCTTCATTGTCATCACTAGCGTCGATATCACCATCACCATCTTCATCCGCTTTAAGAACATCTTGGCCGTCTATATCACCATCACCATCTTCATCTCCGATGTCTGCGGCGTCGATATCACCATCTCCGTCTCGGTCGCCTGCTTCTACATCATCACTATCGACATCACCATCGTTATCAATATCAGCAACTGCACGATCATCTGCGTCTATGTCACCATCATTATCTGTGTCGAGAACGTCATTTACGTCTATATCACCATCTTTATCAACGTCAGTGAGAAAGGTTCTTCTGAGGATGTAATCTGTGGCGTCTACATCACCATCACCATCTCTATCCATCACCTCTAAGTCATCACCATCAACTCGTCCATCTCCATCTAGGTCAGTTAAGTCAGCCGCGTCTATGTCACCATCTCCATCTTTATCTACGGCTTTTACGTCATCTTCGTCAATATCTCCATCGTTATCTACGTCTGCGGCCCTGAAGTCCTCGTCGTCGACAATGCCGTCATGATTGATGTCTACGACGTCATCCTTGTCTATGTCACCATCCTCGTCTCTGTCTTCTAATAGTGTGTTCTCCTCGTCCTCGTCTGAGGCGTCGATGTCACCGTCGGCGTCGTCATCCGCGGCCAAGACGTCCGACCCGTCGAAGTCACCGTCGCCATCCTCGTCGCCGATGTCAGCTATGTCAACGTCACCATCATCGTCCCTGTCAGCAGCTTTGACGTCTTCCTCGTCAATAACACCGTCATTATTGATGTCAGCTACACCGACATCATCCTCATCGATGTCACCGTCGTTGTCGGTATCCAAGACATCGTCCCTGTCGATATCGCCGTCGCCGTCAGTGTCGCCGAGGATGACGTTCTTGTTTCGTAGGTCGGCGTCATCTACGTCACCGTCTGCGTCGGTGTCGACGCCGCGTTCCGCCTCGCCCTCCTTGAAGATCGACCAGGTGAATACTGGAACCGCAGGAACCAAGGGCTCTGCTTCCTCCAGTTCCACCTCTACTGACGACCTGCAGCAGACACACACTAATTAATGTCTGCTCACTTTACCTGCCGCTGCGCCGGCTATATTACTTCCTCTTACATTATTACATTATCATTGCATTATTCCTCTCTAATATTTGTACGTGCGTTAATGTGGATTTCCATCCACGTGTCGGTGGATTCATGTGTTCACTAGTGTCTGCAGAATCGAGCAATTAGCTCTTGGACCCCGCCTTTCTAACCAATCTATTTTTCCTCTATTATATCTACTACATATATCTCTCTAACACACACAGAAATGACAAATGGTGGTTGACAAATGGAATGGATTAGGCAGTGATGTGGTGGAGGCTGACTCCATACACAGTTTCAAGTGTAGATATGATAGAGCCCAGTAGGCTCAGGAATCTGTACACCTGTTGATTGACGGTTGAGAGGCGGGACCAAAGAGCTAAAGCTCAACACCTGGAGGCCTGGTCGAGGACCGGGCCGCGGGGACACTAAAGCCCCGAAATCATCTCAAGATAACCTTCTTAGTATGTTATGATAAGCATCTTATTGCTTCTTAATTACAATTATTACTTAACCTATCAACGGTATAGGTTAAGTAATAATTGTAAATATGAAGCAATAAGATGCTTATCTTTACATACTAAGAAGGTTAGGTAAGGTCGGTGTTTTCTATGAAGCTTTTCAAGGTAAACTAAAATATTCACAATCAATTAGCATGTCACATATGCACTTATTAAATAAGCCAATATTGACTGTAAGCAAGTGCGAGAACGGGTTGTATGTTGTTACCTTAGAACCAAAACACAGCAACAAAGGTCACTTACCCTTCTCCATGGCCTGCAGCGTTGACAGCTGATACAGTCACCCTGATGGTGGAACTCGGCTCTAGGTCCGAGAGCTTGACTAGAGTAACCGAGGGAGGAAGCCTTTCGTCATACTGGGTCACAGGACCTTCTTGCCCGTCCTCTCTCAGTGTCGTGTAGTGAACTTCGTAGCCTTTCACCACTCCGTGGGGCTCCTCCGGCTCCTCCCAGTTCACCAGTAGGCTATCGTCACTAAGCTGTTTAGCCTTAAGATTCGACACCGGCCCCGACTCTGTTGGCAAAGGTTCAGTTGCTTTAATTCATGTTAAGGTCTATTTTTGTGTTCACCAGTAGGCTATCGTCACTAAGCTGTTTAGCCTTAAGATTCGACACCGGCCCCGACTCTGTTGGCAAAGGTTCAGTTGCTTTGATTCATGTTAAGGTCTATTTTTGTGTGGGTGTAACACCTCATTTTCATTCCATACACTGTCATATTTTAAGCATAATTACTCAAAAAAGCTGAATAACAAATGTAAATTATTTAATTTATGAGGTGAACAATGTAGATTATGAGGGCTAAAAGTGCTCCTTTATGCATACTTTGACCATTAGAATGTACATCAGTACGATGATACACATCCACAATCAAGACAATAATATACAAGAAGCCCCATTTAAGCCCCTCTTTCCCCATTAGATTTTTATTAAGAGTCCATAGACTGATATTCCTCAAGTTCACCTTAGTCATAAGATAAGACTTATCTGCAATATTTTTAAAGGTTTAACTATATACGAATTATGTGTATTTTTGCTGTCAAGTTTTTGCCTCGTCAAAGGGGGAAATAAACAGGAGACAGCTATTTAATTAGATTGAAGGGACAATTAGGGGCTACAATTCTGCCAATACAGCTTTAAACATACAGCATAAATACTAAAAATAAAGAATACTATTATTTTCACTCACTAAAAAGTTTACACATGGTTTCCGAAGAAACTATCCCTACTTATGGGTCATTTGAATTTGAGACAAACTTGTATTATACATCAGACATGTGTAAAGGGACTGCAAGTAGCACACGGACCTCCTTCAGCAGTCTTGAAGGATATGGTGGCACTGGTGGGGCCGCTGAAGGCAGAGTTGACGGCGCTGACCCGAGCACGGTACTCTCTGAAGGGCTTGAGGCCTGTCAGTTCGGCCCGACCCACAGGTCCTGTCGTGAGGACCTGCTGGAGCACTTCATCGTCGTCGTCGTCGTCAGCATCTCCGTCGTCGTCCTCCCAGTACTCCACCTGGTGACCAAGGGTCGTCAAGGGTAGTCACTCAACACAAACCTTTCACTTCATCTTTCTCACACACCCACCAAATGTACATGTATATATAATATAAAATATATTTTATATACATTTCATTTTCAATGAAACATGTGTAAATGAAAACCTGCTGCCAGTATACACCTATATATATGCGAACAAGCCTGAATGGTCCCCAGGACTATATGCAACTGAAAACTCACACCCCCAGAAGTGACGCGAACCCATACTGCCAGTTGCATTGTTGCTCCTGGCAGTATGGGTTCGCGTCACTTCTGGGGTGTGAGTTTTCAGTTGCATATAGTCCTGGGGACCATTCAGGCTTGTTCGCATATATATAGGTGTATACTGGCAGCAGGTTTTCATTTACACATGTTTCATTGAATATGACTGCATATCCTGTTTTGATTATTTTCTTGTTTAGGGCTTCTAATCATCTAACTAGTGCTCTTGCATCTTAGTTTAATTGGAAAAGGATTTCTCCAAATGACATCTTTGTTCGAGGTAAACTAAAAGAATAATTAACTATAGAATGTATTACACTAATTAAAAATTTACACAACGTTTCGACCCTATATGGTTCAGTCTCAAGTGATGGGACTGTATTGGGTGTAGTACCCACCAGAATTCAGGACTGCGAAAAAATAATTCAAGATGCCCTAAACCAAGGGATCTAACCGCAAAGGTCGTCAACATTCAGAGCTGTGGAACATAATCTAAAGGTACACACCCAGTGTAAGTTACAAAGGTGTAAAACATCCCAACATTGCAACACTATCAAGGTTTTTTTTCATAAACTGTTGTGCAATATTGAACCTTAAATACAGGTCTAGTTTGTACATACCGGTACTAACATTGAGAAGATTTGGACACTGACCAATTTTACAAGCCCAACCCCCTGTTTAGATGGCACTTATGTCGACCATCATACATATATTGACGTAATAGACAAACACTTAAATACACAATAAAGAAAAAAAAAAAAAAGGGAAGGGGGTGGTAGGAGAAAAGCACACAGAAACTGTATTGGAGGGGACCTACATTCCCTCCAATGCGTTATGTGTGGTTTCCTCCGAGGCTATGGGTCCCCCTTCTTCCAGCCAGACTTGAAAATAGTTTAGTATTACTGAATTTGGACAAACCGGAAACTGTTTTATATTTAAGCTGCTAATAAAATCCAGCTTAACCTAGCCCTCCTAGGCCTAATACATGCTGAGGCCTAATATAGTACATATATATGCTAGAGTAGGCCTTGAAATATTTAAGTTCGGTTTTAAGGTTTATTTCCCCAGACTATAAGGTGAATAGTACCAAATTCTATCTAATTGTCCATTACGTCAATATGCAGAAAATCCACAGAGAAATGTGGAAGTTAGTGAACGTTTCGGCCTGATTAATGGCGTTGTCAACACTAAACTCCGGTGTTTGAGTTTGGTGTTGACAGCGGCTTTAATCAGGCCGAAACGTTCACTTCCTTTCACATTTCTCTGTGGATTTTCCGCATAAAAATGATCAGTGTTTTGTGATCGTCAATTACGTCAATATATGTACGATGGTGCACACAGTTACAAAATGTACTATCTAACAACCCGTTCTTGCACTTGCCTACAGTCAATATTGGCTTATTTAATAAGTGCATATGTGACATACTAATTGTGAATATTTTAGTTTACCTTGAAAAGCTTCATAGAAAACACCGACCTTACCTAACCTTCTTAGTATGTTAAGATAAGCATCTTATTGCTTCTTATTACAATTGTTACCTAACCTATCAACGGTATAGGTTAAGTAATAATTGTAATTAAGAAGCAATAAGATGCTTATCTTAACATACTAAGAAGGTTAGGTAAGGTCGGTGTTTTCGATGAAGCTTTTCAAGGTAAACTAAAATATTCACAATTAGTATGTCACATATGCACTTATTAAATAAGCCAATATTGACAGTAAGCAAGAGCGAGAACGGGTTGTATCTAAACAGGTTGGGTTGGGTTAGATTAGGTTAGGTTAACGATCTAAACAGGCCGGGTTGCCCTTTGCAGGTGGTGTTGTCTGAGCCGACCTTGTAGCCCAGCAGGAGACCGTTGACGGAGTCCTCGTCGACAGGGTTCCAGGTGAGGACCACGTCTGTGGCGTCAGTATCGGCTGCTTGGAGGCCATCAGGCTCGTTCTTCGGTACTGTGGGCGAGGGAAAGTCCATTATACTCACAGCAATGGCTGCCATTCCTTCCTTCATGAGGTTAACACAGCTTCTACTATTACTGTGTTGCTTGTCCATCTACTACGCTCAGGGGAGGAGTAAGACTTAACAGACACTAAGAACTGGACAAATTATGGTTACCTTGAGGTGCTTCCGGGGCTTAGCGTCCCCGCGGCCCGGTTGTCGACCAGGCCTCCTACAGGCACCAGGCATGATGCTCTCATATATAATTGCAAATGTAAACAACACTATATTGTAAAATAAATTTTGAGTTTTCGAAATGACACAAAACTTGTATGCAAGCTGCCAAAAAATAGCTTTTTAAATTTGCAATTTAAAATAGCTTTATATATATATATAATATATATATATATATATATATATATATATATATATATATATATATATATATATATATATATATATATATATATATATATTTATATATAATCATTATATATATATATATACATACACATACATACATACTACCATTAACATATGAAGCAACATAACAGACACTAAGAACTGGACAAATTATGGTTACCTTGAGGTGCTTCCGGGGCTTAGCGTCCCCGCGGCCCGGTTGTCGACCAGGCCTCCTACAGGCACCAGGCATGATGCTCTCATATATAATTGCAAATGTAAACAACACTATATTGTAAAATAAATTTTGAGTTTTCGAAATGACACAAAACTTGTATGCAAGCTGCCAAAAAATAGCTTTTTAAATTTGCAATTTAAAATAGCTTTATATATATATATATATATATATATATATATATATATATATATATATATATATATATATATATATATATATATATATATATATATATATATATATATATATATATTTATATATAATCATTATATATATATATATACATACACATACATACATACTACCATTAACATATGAAGCAACATTGTTCAATACAAGCTATGAAGTTTGCATTCCTGGACGTAATTAACTTCCCTATACCTAACAACATTTGTAAATAATGATAGAGAAGGTTTAGGAATCTTTGAGTGCTAGAGACGAATAAGCAAATTATTATAGAGTAATAAGTATATGATTTGCTTAATCATACCGACACCAGAACGCAACTCCATAGTCTAAGACTGATGGATGGTTCCTACTAGTAGGTAAATGTTTCGTGCAAGAGAGAAGTGGTTGTTACTGACCATCCTGGCCGGAATGGCCGGTGAGGACCAGCAGGGGGACTTGTGCAGGACCATAAGCATTTCGGGCCTCTACCTTGACCTTGTACTCCTGGTAAGGCGGCAGGTCTGCTATCTCCGCCTCGCTCTGCGAAACACACCGGAACAAGTCAAATACGTCTATATTATTATTATATATATGCGTGTCAAGCTTGAATGGTCCCAAAGCCAATATGTATACTCCTGATCCCTGAAGGTTCAGGTAGGTTAGGTAGATTTCATTCCTTCCTATGAATGGAAGGAACCATTCATAGGAAGGTTTCGAACCCCTGTCAGTTTTATGGTCTGTATATCCCCTTGGCGTGTCCAGTAATATAACCACTCAGCCAACAGACTGTACAAAGGTATTGGAAAATCGTCTGACTTAACTAGATACTCTAAAGTGTTCTTGACACTTTTGGTCAGATATTTAATTTCTTCATGCTGGGGCCACACAAGTAACATATGTACTTACTCTCTAACAACATAATATTAAAGTGTATTTAACTAGCTGAACATTGTTGACCAGACCACACACTAGAAGGTGAAGGGACGACGTCGTTTCGGTCCGTCCTGGACCATTCTTGAATCGACTTGAGAATGGTCCAGGACGGAGCGAAACGTCGTCGTCCCTTCACCTTCTAGTCTGTGGTTTGGTCAACATACTTCAGCCACGTTATTGTGACTCATCGCCTGCATAGCTGAACATTACTAGAGAAACATGATGCTACTGCTATGAGGTACGTAATGACTTCATACATATTAATGTATAATGAGACTGGTTAATACATCAGACGAGTTACTCACTCTCTCCCAGTCGTCGAATTTTATACTGTGCCAGGTTTGGTTGTCGTCCTCGTGTTCAATGTCGTCGTCACCTTCAGTGGTGTCGTCGTTCGCATCGTCTTCAGCATGGGTGATAGCTGTATCGTCGTCCTCGTCGTCGTCTCCAGCACCGTGGTCGTCCTTGGTGTCGTCGGCAGCGCGCCAGAGGACTTTGTAGTGAAAGTCTGGACCATTGTGTTCCTCTGGTGGTATCACCTGCAAAAATATTAGAGAAATAAAATATTGCACATAAAATGAAAAAAAATTGAAAAAATCTAAATATATAATAATAAAAACTGTATGTAAATTGTGAATACACAAATGTCTATTTCTACTAATTGTCATTAGTTGAAAGGTCAAAAATGAAGGCAATTTTACAAGAAAATTTAATGTCAAATCATGATAAAATTATTGAGAGGCATAAATGGCATAACACAGTCATTAATATTTTAATAAGTTGCAATCTCGAGGATTAATATTTCTCGATTAATCTCTCTGATAAGAGGGAGTAATACTGACTTAGCGCTTCTCATAATTACCTTATAGGGTTTGAGACCTCAAATATATATTTGTGTTAGAAGGAGAGAACATATGTAGTATAGATTGGGGTGAGAGAATCCTCAAACACAGTCTTCTAACAATTTATCAGCTAACTGATACCTGCTTGATGGGGTTCTGGGAGTTGTTCTACTCCCCAAGCCCGGCCCGAGGCCAGGCCTCCACCCCCCAGGAAGCAGCCCGTGACAGCTGACTAACACCCAGGTACCTATTTTACTGCTAGGTAACAGGGGCATAGGGTGAAAGAAACTCTGCCCATTGTTTCTCGCCGGCGCCTGGGATCGAACCCGGGACCACAGGATCACAAGTCCAGCGTGCTGTCCGCTCGGCCGACCGGCTCCCTCGCCAAAACCAACAGCAGTTAACAGAGTGGAAACACAGGCTGACCAGAAATGCAGCTCTTAAGTGTAAAGTGAACCTCAAGTCTGCTTCGTGAATCTGGCCCCAGGAGACTAGGAGAATACCAGTTACCTGCCCCAGGAGACTAGGAGAGTGCCAGTTACCTGCCAGGAGACTAGGAGGGTGCCACTTACCTCCCAGGAGACCAGGAGAGTGCCAGGGGCAGTGCCAGTGACAGAGACATTGTTAGGGTGATGGTCAGGAGGTAGTCCTGGAGGGTAGCACTGAGCAGTGTCGTCGCTGGGACGAGACATGCCCACACGGTTGAAAGCCAGGACGCGGAAGGTGTAGTTCAGACCGGGGCTCATATCCACCTGCAGAACAGTGATAGAGTGAAGTGATTTTCCCATTTTATCCAGCGACATATACCTCATTTTTATATCTTGGGTTTAGTAGCTTGTTGTGATTGGTGATGTGTGAACTGTAGCTGGTCCATCGAGTGGTATATGGCTCGCTATATTAATATAAGAGATAAAAGGATGAGTAATTATCAAAAGAAGGCACCTAGCCGGAAGCACCATAGATTAATTGATAATACAAGTCAGTAAGTGATTATTTTGTTTGTATATAAATGCAAAAATAACACTATTTTATTAGATTTATTGATTCAATTTCTTTACTTGTAATGCCTTGATTATTCTGAACTCACGACCTGTATTATTGGATTTAATTAAAGTAGGCCTACTTTTGTGTACTGGACTACCAGCTTTATTTACAGTAGGTCTGCTTAATGCCCCTAATGTTTACAGTAGGCCTACTTAATGCGCCTAATGTTTACAGTAGGCCTGCTTAATGCGCCTAATGTTTACAGTAGGCCTGCTTAATGCCCCTAATGTTTACAGTAGGCCTGCTTAATGCCCCTAATGTTTACAGTAGGCCTGCTTAATGCCCCTAATGTTTACAGTAGGCCTACTTAATGCCCCTAATGTTTACAGTAGGCCTACTTGAATGCCCCTAATGTTTACAGTAGGTCTGCTTAATGCCCCTAATGTTTACAGTAGGCCTACTTAATGCCCCTAATGTTTACAGTAGGCCTACTTGAATGCCCCTAATGTTTACAGTAGGTCTGCTTAATGCCCCTAATGTTTACAGTAGGCCTACTTAATGCGCCTAATGTTTACAGTAGGCCTACTTGAATGCCCCTAATGTTTACAGTAGGCCTACTTAATGCGCCTAATGTTTACAGTAGGCCTACTTGAATGCCCCTAATGTTTACAGTAGGCCTGCTTAATGCCCCTAATGTTTACAGTAGGCCTGCTTAATGCCCCTAATGTTTACAGTAGGCCTACTTGAATATCTCAGCCCCAGCTTTACTCACACTTGGTCTACAGGAACAAATTATGTATGATATCAATTATGTATGATATCAATTATGTATGACATCAATTATGTATGATATCAATTATGTATGATATCAATTATGTATGATATCAATTATGTATGATATCAATTATGTATGATATCAATTATGTATGATATCAATTATGTATGATATCAATTATGTATGATATCAATTATGTATGATATCAATTATGTATGATATCAATGATGTATGATATCAATTATGTATGATAATTGTCATCATAATACTAATCAAATAAATGTCTGGAAAGTATAATTAAAAATGATTGCAGTGTACAGATGCATCAGGATCATGTGAAGATGTGCCACTGTGGGGTATACTGGATATATATATATATAGGTAGAAACTATAAGCTGAATAACGTAAAGATATACTGGATGGATAATGGTATATTAAACAAGGAGAATCATACCTACAGAGTTAGATACTTACACGAGCGATGGTCTGGAAGCGGGACTAGTGGTGGCCAGGGTAGGAGAGGGCACGGGAGTTAGAGGTAAAACATTGGTTAGTAAGAAGTAGGTCTAATAGTGGGTATGTGGGGCAGGGGTTCCAGTGTGGGAGGGGACTTCACTGGGACTATACTTCTGTGTGGGAGGGGCTCTAACAGATAGAAGTGGGGAATAGGGGGGTAGGGCAGGCTCTGGTTCCATTGGTTCAAAGCTATAATGTGGGTGAGGCTCCAGTAAGGTGATAGGCATCGCGGGGTTGAAAAGCCATGGGAACCTACGCACACTTCGTGTGAGTAGGTTCCCATGGTAAATGATCTCAGTGCTGGAGGAACTTCGGTAGGGGGCAGACATAACTGGGGACTTGGGGGCTGGGTTGGGGTTTAAGTCAGAGGGGGAAGATGGTGTACAAGCGTAGTTGATTCCCAAAATGTTGAGCTGCAATTAGGGAGAAAGGGAACAATCCATAGAATGCAGAGCTCCAGTATAGGATGGGGCAAAGCCGATCTTACAGGAGGGTCGAGTTAATACATGCCCAGGGCTCTAAGACGGGGAATCATGGTTCTATTATTAAACACGAGAAAGGCAGTTTAGTATCGTTGTGTTCTAGTTCTCAGTGACTTCCAATGGAAGCACGCATATTATAACTATACCAACGGCTTATGCTCCAGAACCTAAAAATTGCGTTGAAAAAGTTTTTTTTGTGGCTACAGGACTATATACAGACTCCTGTCGTGGGTGTAAGGCGCTAATACAGTATCCAGTGGGGGACAAGGCACCAAGAAAATATCATGTTATCTAATATCAGAGCTTCACTATACGATATATGAATCCTCAATGGCTTCCAATAGGGACTGGCATCTCAACAGGGACTGGAACTTCAACAGGGATTGGGTTGAACACTCAAAAGAACAGGGCTCCAATCAGAACCATAGTTTCAACTACAGGCTGGTGTTCCAACAGGAGGCAGGGTACCTATGCGGATTGGACGTTGTAATAGAGGCTGAGGCTTTATCAGGGGAAGGGAGTACAGAGGAGCTGAGGCTTCATTAGGAGGGTTTAAACTGCAATTGGTATTTAAGTTCAATACATGCTGGAGCTTCAATAGGGGATGGTAAACTCCGAAACAAAATGGAGGCTTCAATAATGTTTGAGGGCTTCAGTAGGGAGTGGAACTACAACAGTGACAGGAGCTGTGATGGGATGGAACTACAACTACATTATTGGATGGAACTACAATAGTGGTTCAGATGCAACTGGGGCTGGAAATGCAATAACGACTGGAACTAAAGTATGGGATGGAACTAAAGTATGGGATGGAACTACAGTACAATAGGGCTGGGACTGCCATAGAGGCTGGGATTATAATAGGAGCTGCATCAATTATAGGGGTCTGAACCACAATAGGGGGCTGGAACTGCAATTGGAGATAAATTTAATATTCCACGACAAGCTCCAATATTGTCTAGAGCCCCAAGAGGGGATACTAGGAGTATTTAACAACTCGACTGGCCAGGGCCTTCAGTAGGGACCAAGAGGTCCAAAAAGAGCCTTTCTTCATCAGTACACGAGTCTCTTACTAGGAGAGAGGCTCCTGGAGAGAGGCTCCTGGAGAGAGGCTCCTGGAGAGAGGCTCCTGGAGAGAGGCTCCTGGAGAGAGGCTCCTGGAGAGAGGCTCCTGGAGAGATTAGAACAAGAGACGGGGTGATATTGGCACACTTAACAGCACCATAAGATGTGATCCCATCGTGTCCAGCTGCCCTGCAGGTGTCCACATCCAGGTGTGTGAACTTCACGAAGAAAATAATGAAATGTAAAATATACTCAAAATATATTCTCAAAAAATATTCTCAAAATATTATTACCACGTGAAAAAATATTCAGGAATCTACAAAAATGGATTTAGTAAAATAGTTTAAAAGAGAGGCAAGTTGTATGACTATCTAAGAGAGCATTCAAGAGGGGTCTAGAGCAATGGAAAAGAGCAAGCCATGCAGGGTAGATAACCTCAAGATAACCTCAAGGGTACTAATTCACGTATGACCAACAAAGCTTGCATGCACTCGTTTATAAACTTCCTCAAAACTGAAAAAAAACATTTAATACAATGCAATAATTATGGCTAAGTCATGAATACTATTTTTGTAGATTTATAAAATCTATTGAAACTGAAGTTTCAAAATTACATGCTCCTAATACAGGTTAAAACTTTATGAACTTCAAGAAATATCAAAGTATCATATTTTCCTGTCGCGTCCATATATGTGTTTGAGTGTGTGGCAGCCAAGGTTGGGGTGGTGTAGCCTTTGGCACACAACACAGGTGATACTATGGTCCTGACAACTGATAACACACAGGTGACACCATGGTCCTGACACACCTGATAACACACAGGTGAGGCCACAACCCAGACAAACGTGGTAACACACAGGTAACGCTGCATACCTGACATGTGACAACACACAGGTGTGGCCACACACCTGACATGCTGAACCTGCCGTTCATCAACTCATCAGCTGTACCTTCACAGGTCAACAGTTGTGCAGAGTAAGAAATACTAAGCTTCAGTAATGCTCAGGAAAACTATTAAACACCTGACAACAATAAATAAATACTAACTCTAGAACTCAAACTCAAATACCATGGTCTCTAGAAACTACAAAATAGATATACACAGGTAATTGTTTACTAATAAAGGCAGGTATAACTAATCCAATTTTACATGCAGTCTAAAATGTCAGAACTGTGTGATATTACTGAAGAAGGGAAGGATTATAAAGGCATATTATCCCAAAATTGAGAATGACAAGCTCTTGAAAGCAGCTCCCTCGAAAGCATCAAACCTTTCTACAACTACCAATGGGACCAAAGCTTTAAATTGAACTTGGCGGAATAGGAATTCGCAAGGTAACGGAGAAGGTATGGTCTGGGTTCTTAACCTTGTGAGGTGCTGCTAGTAAATTACTGGGAGAGATCCTGCCAGGGTATTTAAGATATATCACTTTCATGATCAACATTATTTTGTAGGTGTCTGTCAGTGGGATGCTCCCAACCCGTTCTCGCACTTTCGTATAGTCAATATTGACTTATTAAATACGTGCATATGTGACATACTAAACATCCTAGTTTACCTTGAAAAGCTTCATAGAAAACACCGACCTTACCTAACCTTCTTAGTATGTTAAGATAAACATCTTATTGCTTCGTAATTACAATTATTACTTAACCTATTATAGGTATAGGTTAAGTAATAATTGTAATTACGAAGCAATAAGATGCTTATCTTAAGATACTAAGAAGGTTAGGTAAGGTCGGTGTTTTCTATGAAGCTTTTTCTATGAAGCTTGTAAGAAAGTGCGAGAACGGGGGATGCTCTGTACGTTCTTCACCCAGACCAGCTTCCCACACGACCACAGACCCACAGGAAGAGTTCTACAGTGTGGGACTGAGTATCCAAATGAGCCACAGAGACCACACACTAGAAGGTGAAGGGACGACGACGTTTCGGTCCGTCCTGGACCATTCTCAAGTCGATCACAATCGACTTGAGAATGGTCCAGGACGGACCGAAACGTCGTCGTCCCTTCACCTTCTAATGTGTGGTCTGGTCAACATACTTCAGCCCCGTTATTGTGACTCCTCGCCTTCAGAGAGAATGCTAATCGTGTCCCGTCTTTCAGTACTCTAAGGCGCTTTGAAACTGTTTCAAAGCGAGAATATAATACTATTATACACACTAGTTGATTATAGGGTCTCGGTAGTACAGTGGGATTTGGTCTTGAATCACAATCACAAATCCCGGATTCTAATCCTGAGCGGGACAGAATTGGTTGGGTACGTTCCCTATGACCTAACGCCTCTGTTCACCTAGCAGTAAATAGGTTCCCGGGAGTTAGTCTCACAATATATACAGGCTGCCTGTTCCCGATAATATGAATTATGATGGCGGAGGATGGGGCAGGCCACCGTGGCGGAGGATGGGGCAGGCCACCGTGGCGGAGGATGGGGCAGGTCACCGTGGCGGAGGATGGGGCAGGTCACCGTGGCGGAGGATGGGGCAGGCCACCGTGGCGGAGGATGGGGCAGGCCACCGTGGCGGAGGATGGGGCAGGCCACCGTGGCGGAGGATGGGGCAGGTCACCGTGGCGGAGGATGGGGCAGGCCACCGTGGCGGAGGATGGGGCAGGCCACCGTGGCGGAGGATGGGGCAGGTCACCGTGGCGGAGGATGGGGCAGGCCACCGTGGCGGAGGATGGGGCAGGCCACCGTGGCGGAGGATGGGGCAGGCCACCGTGGCGGAGGATGGGGCAGGACACCGTGGCGGAGGATGGGGCAGGCCACCGTGGCGGAGGATGGGGCAGGCCACCGTGGCGGAGGATGGGGCAGGCCACCGTGGCGGAGGATGGGGCAGGTCACCGTGGCGGAGGATGGGGCAGGTCACCGTGGCGGAGGATGGGGCAGGCCACCGTGGCGGAGGATGGGGCAGGTCACCGTGGCGGAGGATGGGGCAGGCCACCGTGGCGGAGGATGGGGCAGGCCACCGTGGCGGAGGATGGGGCAGGCCACCGTGGCGGAGGATGGGGCAGGCCACCGTGGCGGAGGATGGGGCAGGCCACCGTGGCGGAGGATGGGGCAGGCCACCGTGGCGGAGGATGGGGCAGGTTAAGACCCAACATTCAGGAAATCAGAAGTAACTGGCCAGGCACTGCCAAAAGCTGGTGGAGAGGGGGGCGCTACTGGAGAGAGAGGGGGGCGCTACTGGAGAGAGAGGGGGGCGCTACTGGAGAGAGAGGGGGGCGCTACTGGAGAGAGAGGGGGGCGCTACTGGAGAGAGAGGGGGGCGCTACTGGAGAGAGAGGGGGGCGCTACTGGAGAGAGAGGGGGGCGCTACTGGAGAGAGAGGGGGGCGCTACTGGAGAGAGAGGGGGGCGCTACTGGAGAGAGAGGGGGGCGCTACTGGAGAGAGAGGGGGGCGCTACTGGAGAGAGAGGGGGGCGCTACTGGAGAGAGAGGGGGGCGCTACTGGAGAGAGAGGGGGGCGCTACTGGAGAGAGAGGGGGGCGCTACTGGAGAGAGAGGGGGGCGCTACTGGAGAGAGAGGGGGGCGCTACTGGAGAGGGGGGCGCTACTGTAGAGGAATGTAGTATATACCCAACAAAGTGTTGAGTAAAGGCCGTGTTGGTCTCTAGTGAAGGCTCAGGGCGGAGACGCCCATTAAGGTAACTACTACAAGCAGGTAGATCCAAAAATCTCAGCCGGCATTAAAATTAGGGCGCCGCTCTGACGTCACAAACCCCATGCACATTGTACACAAAACGGAAAAATTGGATCTTAATTTAGGCTCTGTTACGTTGGGCTCTGTTAAACTAAGTTAGGTTAAGTTGAAAAGAATATCGATGACTTAAAGAGTATCTTTCTTTAGGTCTTAGACCTTTCTCAATTACATAGGGTTGATTTAGACGGATCTAAAAGGTTAGGGATAAGAGGGGAATCGAGTTTTTCATTCTTATTGTGAGGAAAAAACCCGATAATGACTCACTGAGAAGGAAGTTGACGACGCTGGAATCTTGTTTCTGGCATCTTTCCACTGGTCGGGGTGGAAGGGTGTGACGTACTGGATTACGAACCCTTGAAGAGGCGCGTTGTTGTCACCGGCTGAAGACCACTCCAGGAAGGCTTCCCTCGCTCCACACCGCCCAGTAGTCAGGTGTGGCGGGTTTGGCACATCTGTACATACATGCACATACGGTATCCACGGGCAAGGATTAGCAGTTAGGTTATATAGACTACGTCTAGGTTACAGATGCAACTGGGAGATTGGTGAACCCCGACAGAGAGAGTGCATCTTCTGCCAAACTGTCACAGAAAAGCCATTACTTCACTATCTACTGGAATGTGAAGCAACCAATGACCTTAGAAGAGCTTTAAGAGTTCCTGAATCATGCAGTGGCTACCCTGAAGCCATCAACACAGCCACTCTCCTGGTCAACAAAGGTGTCCAGCAGCTGGACACCCTCATAAAGACTGTGAAGCAGTATCCTCCCCCGCGATAACAGCTTGATGGTTAAATGCAACCTCAGAATACTGAGAAAAACAAATTGTACCACTTACGGGCTATTCATGCCCGTGCCATCTCTTCGGTGGCTTAATCTTCATCAATCAATCATATCAGTCTATCCCTTGTGCCTTATTCACACACACGCCACAACCCAAATCCTCCTATCAACTCGAGCATCCCTGATTGACATAGATTAAGCCACTCAAAAGGCGGCACGGGCATGAATAGCCCGTAAGTGGAGGCTCTTTGGAGCCATTACCAACAGCTGATACTGGAGATCTGCTGATGAAGCACTCTTCCCTACACATACACAGATATGCGAGATAATGTTGAAGAGCGTTGACATAGATAATACATAATGGATAGAAGGTAGAGAGTGAGAGGGGCGAGAAGTCGGCCTGGCGTTATCTTAAGATGGTTATCTTGAGATGATTTCAGGGTTTTAGTGTCCCCGCGGCCCGGTCCTCGACCAAGCCTCCACCCCCAGGAAGCAGCCCGTGACAGCTGACTAACACCCAGGTACCTATTTTACTGCTAATTAACAGGGGCATAGGATGAAAGACACTCATTGTTTCTCGCCGGCGCCCGGGATCGAACCCAGGACCACAAGTCCAGCGTGCTGTCCGCTCGGCCGACCTGCGTAGCATAACAAGCGGGGTACCTCAAGGGTCTGGGACCAATGCTGGGAACATTTCTCAATTATATTAACGACCTATCTACAGGTATCGAGTCTCATATGACCATGTTTGCAGGCGATGTCAAATTTATGAGAAGAGACAGATGCGGATTCTAAGATCCTTCAACCTGACTTAGACAAGTAGCCGAGTTAGTCCGAGAAATGGCTACTGGATTTCAACCCCAGCAAAGTGTAAGGTGATGGAAATGAGAACAAGATCAAAATGATGAGACATAATAAAGTGAAAGATAATGAGGTATAGAAAATAAAGAGGGGATAAATAGGAAGAAATTATCAAGAAAATAGACTCGTATTATTAATAACTTAAAGTAAGACTCTAAAGGCTGACATTAGTAGGCAAGGATATGCTAAGATAAAGTTTATTGATAAATCAAATAGACTTGTCAAAGATGTTTTCCCTGGTGCCAGAACCCCTATGGCTGCCTGGTGCCTGTAACTACCCCCCAGGGGTGCCTGTAACTACCCCCCAGGGGTGCCTGTAACTACCCCCCAGGGGTGCCTGTAACTACCCCCCCAGGGGTGCCTGTAACTACCCCCCCAGGGGTGCCTGTAACTACCCCCCCAGGGGTGCCTGTAACTACCCCCCAGGGGTGCCTGTAACTACCCCCCAGGGGTGCCTGTAACTACCCCCCAGGGGTGCCTGTAACTACCCCCGAGGGGTGCCTGTAACTACCCCCCAGGGGTGCCTGTAACTACCCCCCAGGGGTGCCTGTAACTACCCCCCAGGGGTGCCTGTAACTACCCCCAGGGGTGCCTGTAACTACCCCCAGGGGTGCCTGTAACTACCCCCCAGGGGTGCCTGTAACTACCCCCAGGGGTGCCTGTAACTACCCCCCAGGGGTGCCTGTAACTACCCCCAGGGGTGCCTGTAACTACCCCCCAGGGGTGCCTGTAACTACCCCCCCCAGGGGTGCCTGTAACTACCCCCCAGGGGTGCCTGTAACTACCCCCCCCAGGGGTGCCTGTAACTACCCCCCCCAGGGGTGCCTGTAACTACCCCCCCAGGGGTGCCTGTAACTACCCCCCAGGGGTGCCTGTAACTACCCCCAGGGGTGCCTGTAACTACCCCCAGGGGTGCCTGTAACTACCCCCAGGGGTGCCTGTAACTACCCCCAGGGGTGCCTGTAACTACCCCCAGGGGTGCCTGTAACTACCCCCCGGGTGCCTGTGACTACCCCCCAGGGGTGCCTGTAACTACCCCCCAGGGGTGCCTGTAACTACCCCCCAGGGGTGCCTGTAACTACCCCCCAGGTGTGCCTGTAACTACCCCCAGGGGTGCCTGTAACTACCCCCCAGGGGTGCCTGTAACTACCCCCCAGGGGTGCCTGTAACTACCCCCCAGGGGTGCCTGTAACTACCCCCCAGGGGTGCCTGTAACTACCCCCCAGGGGTGCCTGTAACTACCCCCCAGGGGTGCCTGTAACTACCCCCCAGGGGTGCCTGTAACTACCCCCCAGGGGTGCCTGTAACTACCCCCCAGGGGTGCCTGTAACTACCCCCCAGGGGTGCCTGTAACTACCCCCCAGGGGTGCCTGTAACTACCCCCCAGGGGTGCCTGTAACTACCCCCAGGGGTGCCTGTAACTACCCCCAGGGGTGCCTGTAACTACCCCCGGGGTACCTGTAACTACCCCCAGGGGTGCCTGTAACTACCCCCCAGGGGTGCCTGTAACTACCCCCCAGGGGTGCCTGTAACTACCCCCCAGGGGTGCCTGTAACTACCCCCAGGGGTGCCTGTAACTACCCCCCAGGGGTGCCTGTAACTACCCCCCAGGGGTGCCTGTAACTACCCCCCAGGGGTGCCTGTAACTACCCCCCAGGGGTGCCTGTAACTACCCCCCAGGGGTGCCTGTAACTACCCCCCAGGGGTGCCTGTAACTACCCCCCAGGGGTGCCTGTAACTACCCCCCAGGGGTGCCTGTAACTACCCCCCAGGGGTGCCTGTAACTACCCCCCAGGGGTGCCTGTAACTACCCCCCAGGGGTGCCTGTAACTACCCCCCAGGGGTGCCTGTAACTACCCCCCAGGGGTGCCTGTAACTACCCCCCAGGGGTGCCTGTAACTACCCCCCAGGGGTGCCTGTAACTACCCCCCAGGGGTGCCTGTAACTACCCCCCAGGGGTGCCTGTAACTACCCCCCAGGGGTGCCTGTAACTACCCCCCAGGGGTGCCTGTAACTACCCCCCAGGGGTGCCTGTAACTACCCCCCAGGGGTGCCTGTAACTACCCCCCAGGGGTGCCTGTAACTACCCCCCAGGGGTGCCTGTAACTACCCCCCAGGGGTGCCTGTAACTACCCCCCAGGGGTGCCTGTAACTACCCCCCAGGGGTGCCTGTAACTACCCCCAGGGGTGCCTGTAACTACCCCCAGGGGTGCCTGTAACTACCCCCAGGGGTGCCTGTAACTACCCCCAGGGGTGCCTGTAACTACCCCCCAGGGGTGCCTGTAACTACCCCCCAGGGGTGCCTGTAACTACCCCCAGGGGTGCCTGTAACTACCCCCAGGGGTGCCTGTAACTACCCCCCAGGGGTGCCTGTAACTACCCCCCAGGGGTGCCTGTAACTACCCCCCAGGGGTGCCTGTAACTACCCCCCAGGGGTGCCTGTAACTACCCCCCAGGGGTGCCTGTAACTACCCCCAGGGGTGCCTGTAACTACCCCCAGGGGTGCCTGTAACTACCCCCAGGGGTGCCTGTAACTACCCCCAGGGGTGCCTGTAACTACCCCCCAGGGGTCCGCGATATTACAAACCTTCCACGGTGAGGATAAGGTCGTCAGAGACATCGTCAAGGCTGGTGTGGACGCGGCAGGTGTAGACCCCAGAGTCGTCGCCGTGGACTTTCATGATTTCCAGCACCCACGTCTCTTCTTGGCGGTCGTCGTCGTCGTCTCCGTCGTCGTGGTCGTCGGTAGAGTCGTGGTGGCCACTTTCATCGCTGTGGAAGTCTTCTGAAAAGAATTGTACCGTTTTAAAAGTTTGTTTTTTAGCATTTTTTTGGTTATCAGATAATATTTTCATGATTGTTATTATATCAGATGTTATCTTGAGGTTATCTTGAGATTTCGGGGCTTTAGTGTCCCGCGGCCCGGTCCTCGACCAGGCCTCCACCCTTAGGAAGCAGCCCGTGATAACTGACTAACACCCAGGTACCTATTTTACTGCTAGGTAACAGGGGGCATAGGGTGAAAGAAACTCTGCCCATTGTTTCTCGCCGGCGCCTGGGATCGAACCCGGGACCACAGGATCACAAGTCCCGCGTGCTGTCCGCTCGGCCGACCGGCTCCCGGGAGGGACTATTAGGAGAAAGCGCCAAGCCATTACGACTATATAGCACTGGGAAGGGGTCAGGATTAGGATTTGGGATGGGACGGGGGGAAAGGAATGGTGCCCAACCACTTGTGGACGGTCTCGGGGGATTGAACGCCGACCTGCATGAAGCGAGACCGTCGCTCTACCGTCCATCCCAAGTGGTTGGACTCTAAGAGCCAATTGTGAACAGATAACCCATACATGACGAGGGCAAATCTCATCTATACCATTAAAATACCGAACAAATTATTAGATATTAACCACATATCCACATAACCACAAAAGGGTTGAAACCGAAGTTCTACTGAACTTACTGGGTCCCTTTTAACCCTGTCGTAGCTCAGTCGATTAAGGCAGTGTCTGGGATGCTCCCGGACGCAGGTTCGAATCCTCGTCACGGCCCTTGTGGATTTGTTCATTTGATGCATCACGTTAGTGTGATCTCTGTGTGTGATTGAAGGACTGGTTGGTATTGCGACGCCTCCATTCTTACAGGTCAGCGTTCGATCGCCGATGGTCAGAGTGACTCGGCCATTCCTTCTCCTTCCTCATATCCCAGCTCCTTGTCCTCATATCCCAGCTCCTTGTCCTCATATCCCAGCTCCTTGTCCTCATATCCCAGCTCCTTGTCCTCATATCCCTTCCAGAAGTCATACTGGCTTAGCCCTTCCTCCTAATATTTACCTAACCTAATCCAACCCACTTTAAAAAAAAAAGTCCAATTCCACACCCCAAAGGGTGTGAAATTGGACTTAACAAGCCATGTCATGGCTTGTTGGACCCCAAAAAGCCACAACGTTGGACAGTGAACACGAGATAATTTTAGTGTCCCACAGGATAATTATCTAAAAAATCATCTGTCACCTGAAAACATAACCTATGAAGGTCTGCGATAAATATAGATAAGACCTACCCCTCCGTCCAAGGTGGAAATTATCGTCTTCAAGGTCGAGTTGGACGTCGTCCTTGAACCAAGTCACAGTTGGGTTGAGATGCGGGTCGATCTTAATGCGGCAGTCTAAGGAGACATGGTCGCCGGCCTCCACTCTCTCCGCTACAAGGCTGGCCTCAGCTTCCGTTTTCTCTGATGACAGAACCAAAAACATTATTCTGGTAAGGTGATGTATATATTCCCATGTGCAGGCGATGAGTCGCAATAGCGTGGCTGATGTTGACCAGACCACACACTAGAAGGTGAAGGGACGACGACGTTTCGGTCCGTCCTGGACCATTCTCAAGTTGATTGAGAATGGTCCAGGACGGACCGAAACGTCGTCGTCCCTTCAACTTCTAGTGTGTGGTCTGGTCAATATAGGTTCTCTTAGTTGTGCTTGCGGGGGTTGAGCTTTGCTCTACCGACCCGCCTCTCAACTGTCAATCAACTGTTATTAACTACTAACTAATTATATTTTTTATGACTCACTCCCCCAAGAAGCAGCTCCGTGACAGGTGTCTAACTCCCAGGTACCTATTTTACTGCTAGGTATTCAGGGTGAAAGAAACTTTGCCCATTTGCTTCTGCCTGGGAATCGAACCCAGGCCACAGAATTATGAGTCCTGCGCCCTGTTCACTTGGCTACCTGACCCCTGTACTGTGTGGGGTATAGGTGTTGTAGAGGTAGGTGTGTGTGTGTGTGTGTGTGTGTGTGTGTGTGTGTGTGTGTGTGTGTGTGTGTGTGTACAGCTTTATACAATATTTTGAATTTGTGTGAATGTACGATTGGGTAATAATTGATTGTCGACCATATGTAATACACGTTACTTAACGTTACTCACCCATCACGTCACTCAACACAGAGTTACTCACCCCTCACATCAACGTGGACTTGGGACTCTAAGGACGCAAACTTATTGGTGGCGATACAGATGTAGTGACCCTCCGTGTCCTTGTCCACAGCTCTGTGAAGGGAAGGTTGTGGTGAGAGCTGCTCCACCGCCAGATACTTCTCATGTCCCTATCATGTCTCGTTACTCAAGTGACAGTTATATGAAATTGAACAGCACTAAGTTCTTGTCATGGTTGAACTGGACTAACCGCCTGTTCAGGTTGAATGACAAGCAGTAACTTTGAGGCGAGGAGTTACAATAACGTGGCTGAAATATGTTGAGCAAATCACACACTAGAAACTGAAGGGACGACGACGTTTCGGTCCGTCTTGGACCATTCTCAAGTCGACTTGAGAATGGTCCAGGACGGACCGAAACGTCGTCGTCCCTTCACTTTCCAATGTGTGGTCTAGTCAACAAGCTGCTCATTTTGAACAGAACTAGTTTGTCATGGTTCAACAATACTAACTATTAAGTTTGAACACTGTAAAAATATCCAAAGAATAATGTTTAGTTTATTTGGAGTTCACAGGAGTAAACTCCGGCCCTAACAAGCCGCCCAGGCGTTTATTGGAGAGCAGTAGCACTACAGATTGTAATTATTACACCAAGTGGAGGTACAGTTGACTAGGGCGCGTCTGTGAACACCCAGGCCCGTAAGTTCGAATCCTCATCACGGCTCTTATGGATTTATTCATTGATATATCATGTGTGTTTGATTTTCATTGATATCCCCTTACTAAACTTGTACATCTTCCATCAATAATGGTAAATTCATTTATTTAAGAGCTTATGAGCTCCGAAGCTCAAAAAAGTTATATACAAGAATTATAACCTTGGGTTATTAACCCAAAGGTTAATAACCTCATTACTGGTGAAGAACCTATTTAACAATCCAGATTAACCCTTTGATGAAAGATGCAGAGGTTTCGCAAACGGCAGAGTAGAAACTTGACAAGGCCCCTGAGTAACGACACGAACCTTATGACGAGTTTAGTGTCGTCGACGTGGTATCTGGGGTCCTCGTCGTGGATGACGACGCGTTCGTCTCCGTCGATCCTGACCCACGTCATGTTGGGGTCAGGGGACCCGTAGGCTTCACAGTGTAAGGTGGCGGCCAGGCCCTCTAGCACGACCACGTCCTGGGGCTCCGTCAGCCACTCCGGCGGTAGGGCTGAAACACCTCACTTGTCTAGCATCACCTCTATACTACAGGGCATTGTGTGGTACAGTGTCATTGTGTGGTACAGTGGTCTTGTGTGGTACAGTGTCCTTGTGTGGTACAGTGGACTTGTGTGGTACAGTGTCCTTGTGTGGTACAGTGGTCTTGTGTGGTACAGTGGCCTTGTGTGGTACAGTGGTCTTGTGTGGTACAGTGGTCTTGTGTGGTACAGTGGTCTTGTGTGGTACAGTGTCCTTGTGTGGTACAGTGGTCTTGTGTGGTACAGTGTCATTGTGTGGTACAGTGGTCTTGTGTGGTACAGTGTCCTTGTGTGGTACAGTGGACTTGTGTGGTACAGTGTCCTTGTGTGGTACAGTGGTCTTGTGTGGTACAGTGTCATTGTGTGGTACAGTGGTCTTGTGTGGTACAGTGGCCTTGTGTGGTACAGTGGTCTTGTGTGGTACAGTGGTCTGGGGTGGTACAGTGGTCTTGTGTGGTACAGTGGCCTTGTGTGGTACAGTGGTCTTGTATGGTACAGTGGTCTTGTATGGTACAGTGTCATTGTGTGGTACAGTGTTCTTGTGTGGTACAGTGGCCTTGTGTGGTACAGTGGCCTTGTGTGGTACAGTGTCACTGTGTGGTACAGTGGTCTTGTGTGGTACAGTGTCATTGTGTGGTACAGTGGTCTTGTGTGGTACAGTGGTCTTGTATGGTACAGTGTCATTGTGTGGTACAGTGGTCTTGTGTGGTACAGTGGTCTTGTATGGTACAGTGGTCTTGTATGGTACAGTGGCCTTGTGTGTACAGTGTCATTGTGTGGTACAGTGTCATTATGTGGTACAGTGGTCTTGTATGGTACAGTGGTCTTGTATGGTACAGTGGTCTTGTGTGGTACAGTGGTCTTGTGTGGTGCAGTGGTCTTGTGTGGTGCAGTGGTCTTGTGTGGTGCAGTGGTCTTGTGTGGTACAGTGGTCTGGGGTGGTACAGTGGTCTTGTGTGGTACAGTGGTCTTGTGTGGTACAGTGGTCTTGTGTGGTACAGTGGCCTTGTGTGGTACAGTGGCCTTGTGTGGTACAGTGGCCTTGTGTGGTACAGTGGCCTTGTGTGGTACAGTGGCCTTGTGTGGTACAGTGGCCTTGTGTGGTACAGTGGCCTTGTGTGGTACAGTGGCCTTGTGTGGTACAGTGGCCTTGTGTGGTACAGTGGCCTTGTGTGGTACAGTGGTCTTGTGTGGTACAGTGTCCTTGTATCCTACAATGTCCTTGTATCCTACAATGTCCCTGTATACTACAATGTCCTTGTATCCTACAATGTCCTTGTATACTACAATGTCCTTGTATACTACAATGTCCTTGTATACTACAATGTCCTTGTATACAAAGATGTTGTATGCTAAAATACACAAGATTTACTGGTACATAAACACTAAGTTTAAAGCTAAACAATAATTAAGTCGGCTGCAGCCACAGACAAATATATTCGAGGTCACAGATTGTCTTAACACTTAACTGCACTAAGTTACGAACCTTCACCACAATAAGCCCTCAAAATAGGTAATTATCAAGGGGACCCGAGCCCTTTTTCACCTACTTTGAGGTCAACCCTGGAACTCACAGTTCCTACGACGGCGCTGGAACCAATCGTATTGGCGCGTACCTTTCCATTGGAGACTTTCAGCGTCGTGGAGAGGGGGGGGGGACCTGCTGCATGGGTAACAGCTTCTCCCCCGAATCAACCTACCCTGGCTTATGTGCCCTGGTGAGGCCACTCCTGACTAGGGGCCAGATTCACGAAAGCAGTTACGCAAGCACTTACGAACCTGTACATCTTTTCTCAATCTTTGGCGGCTTTGTTTACAATTATTAAACAGTTAATGAGCTCCGAAGCACCAGGAGGCTGTTTATAACAATAACAACAGTTGATTGGCAAGTTTTCATGCTTCTAAACTGTTTAATAAATGTAACCAAAGCCGTCAAAGATTGAGGAAAGATGTACACGTTCGTAAGTGCTTGTGTAACTGCTTCGTGAATCTGGCCCCAGGTTCGTAAGTGCTTGCGTAACTGCTTCGTGAATCTGGCCCCAGGTTCGTAAGTACTTGTGTAACTGCTTCGTGAATCAGGCCCCAGGCCGATGCCAATGCACTAGTCCCTAGTCTCCTGAGACTGATGGATGTCTACTACTACATCAAGGAGTTGCTTTAAACAGGAAGGCGCTAAGCCTGTATGGCTATGTAGCAATTGGAAAGGATAGGTACTGCTGTAGCAGTGAAAGGGACTGTACCCAACCACGATCTCCCGTCATAGCGGGAATCGAACGCCGACCTGCAAAGCTGTGTATACCGACTAGTCGACAACTCGCCCACCTGAACGGAAGTAGAAGACCATGATCACTACTCACAGAGAACGTTCAGGTAGACGCTCTTGTAGACGTAGCCGTGCTTGTTGGACGCGTTACAGGCGATGGTGGCTTTCATGTCTAGTGCCAGGGCGTCGAACATCACCTGTGGTAGAGGACACCTTTGTTAGTACTCTATTGGAGACCTTTGTTAGTACTCTATTGGAGACCTTTGTTAGTACTCTATTACACCACAGGTAACACCGCTACCAGCCACGGGGAGGACCTACAGTGACTAGATGGTGAGGGGCCTACAGTGACTAGATGGTGAGGGGCCTACAGTGACTAGATGGTGAAGGGCCTACAGTGACTAGATGGTGAAGGGCCTACAGTGACTAGATGGTGAGGGGCCTACAGTGACTAGATGGTGAGGGGCCTACAGTGACTAGATGGTGAGGGGCCTACAGTGACTAGATGGTGAGGGGCCTACAGTGACTAGATGGTGAGGGGCCTACAGTGACTAGATGGTGAGGGGCCTACAGTGACTAGATGGTGAGGGGCCTACAGTGACTAGATGGTGAGGGGCCTACAGTGACTAGATGGTGAGGGGCCTACAGTGACTAGATGGTGAGGGGCCTACAGTGACTAGATGGTGAGGGGCCTACAGTGACTAGATGGTGAGGGGCCTACAGTGGCTAGATGGTGAGGGGCCTACAGTGACTAGATGGTGAGGGGCCTACAGTGCCTAGATGGTGAGGGGCCTACAGTAGCTAGTGAAGGACCTACAGTGACTAGGTAAAGATGACTAGGGACTCACTGTAGTATCATGACTCTCCATGGGGTCACCATTCTTAGTCCATGTGATGGTGGGTTCCGGGTCACCACTGGCTTCACAATTGAAGACGGCAGTCTCCCCTTGCGGCAAGTTGGTCACTTCCGGCTCCACTACGAACTCTGGCGCCGCTGTGGGAACACGAGGTCACTTACATTCCTTCCCAGTAGATATATTAGTGTCATTCTCACTATATAACTAAGTTATATAACATCTAACTAGTCTATATCGTCTATACCAACGTTGAGGAAGAATAAGATGATGTAACTACTTCCTGTCAACTGCTCAGTCGCGTTTAGCACCAATGAGAAGCCAGAGAAATTTGCCGATTTTCTGGTATTAACAAAAAATTTTGACGTCTGGAAAATCTATGTAAATAGATGCGTCCAGATGCTGCCAAACAGTTTCCTGTGCTCCAGGGAGAGTACAGCACTGCAAAGATGCTGGTGATTTGCCACGGCAGGCTATCGTCAGGTTGTGGTATTTTGTTAATATACTTGCTGCATGGGTAACAGCTTCTCCCATGAATCAACCTACCCTGGCTTTGTGCCCTGGAGAGGCCACTCCAGACCGACAACCAGAGCGCAAGTCCATAGTCTCCCGAGACTGATACATGCCTACTACTACTACTACTACTACTTGTAGCCTAGAGTTTAACATTGGATACAAGACCCACTTCCACGGGAGAGACTATACCAAAGACAGTTATACATACATTCAATATAGACGGTGAAGTGCTGGGTCTCGCTCTCTCCTGCGTCGTTAGTGGCTTGGCAGGAGTAGGAGCCCATGTCGGCCTCGGAGACGTCGTCGAGGACCAGGGTCTTACCAAAGTGCTCCAGCTTATTGGTCTCTACATCGGCCCGGCTCTCTCTCCACCAGCGTACCTCTGGCACCGGGCTGTGACGCGACAGGACAAAGGAAGGCGCACAAGCGCAAAGTTTATCGTTATTACACACGTGTTAGTCATGTTTGCAACCCGTTCTCGCACTTTCATATAGTCAATATTGACTTATTAAATACGTGCATATGTGACATACTAAACATACTAGTTTACCTTGAAAAGCTTCATAGAAAACACCGACCTTACCTAACCTTCTTAATATGTTAAGATAAGCATCTTATTGCTTCGTAATTACAATTATTACTTAACCTATACCTATAATAGGTATGGGTTAAGTAATAATATACTTAGGTTACTAAGTATACTTAGGTAGGTATAGGTTACTAAATATACTAAATATACTTAGGTAGGGATAGGTTAAGTAATAATATACCTATAATAGGTTAAGTAATAATTGTAATTACGAAGCAATAAGATGCTTATCTTAACATACTAAGAAGGTTAGGTAAGGTCGGTGTTTTCTATGAAGCTTTTCAAGGTAAACTAGTATGTTTAGTATGTCACATATGCACGTATTTAATAAGTCAACATTGACAAAGTGCGAGAACGGGTTTCATGTTTTCTATGCACACTTAATAAAATGACGTTTCATTAAATCCGGTTTTACATTCATGGGTTAAAAGTTGACACGATCACAAGTCTACTAAACATGAAATATTATGGTCCCAATAAACCTGAGGCCAGATTCACGAAAGCCCTTACGAACCTGTCCATCTTTTCTTAATCTTTGGCGGCTTTGTTTACAATTATTAAACAGTTAATGAGCTCCGAAGCACCAGGAGGCTGTTTATAACAATAACAACAGTTGATTGGCAAGTTTTCATGCTTGTAAACTGTTTAATAAATGTAACCAAAGCCGTCAAAGATTGAGGAAAGATGTACACGTTCGTAAGTGCTTGCGTAACTGCTTCGTGAATCTGGCCCCAGGTTCGTAAGTGCTTGCGTAACTGCTTCGTGAATCTGGCCCCAGGTAACCAAGTTTTAACCAAGTTAACATAATAAAAATTACCATGTTAAAGTTCGTGGAAACATTACTCTCTATTCACGACTCTGGAACACAATGTAATTTTGAAATACAGATAAAAACATCATATAGGCCTACACGTTATCTTGAGATTATCTTGAGATGATTTCGGGGCTTTGAGTGTCCCCGCGGCCCGGTCCTCGACCAGGCCTCCACCCCCAGGAAGCAGCCCGTGACAGCTGACTAACACCCAGGTACCTATTTTACTGCTAGGTAACAGGGACATAGGGTGAAAAACTCTGCCCATTGTTTCTCGCCGGCACCTGGGATCGAACCCAGGACCACAAGATCACAAGTCCAGCGTGCTGTCCGCTCGCTAGCCCGGCTCCATTACATTCACTTCCAAACTTCAAATTCAGTGGGAAGGGGGAGGGGGGGGGATTTTAACCCCTCCAAATGAATCCGAATCTCTGACTGACTCTTGAAGCAAAGGTTCAGACATCCCCAGCTGTTAATCACACCTCAGTGAAGCGCTTCTACCGACTCTCCACCAGCCAAAGTTCACACTGCTCACCTTTGATGCATTTGACCTTTGGAAGATGCACCAGTATTAAGGTCATAAGGCTGCGTCTTCCTACATATCGTATTTAAGTCCAAATCTGCTCATGACTACTAATAATAACGAAATCTGCCGAATAATCTGGTTTTGTTAATTTAATAAGTGGTAGTGGAACAGATTAGAGTGGCACACTATGGGCTTGGTAATCTTGGGGCTGGTCGGCCGAGCAGACAGCACACTGGACGTGTGATCCTGTGGTCCCGGGTTCGATCCCGGGCGACGGCGAGAAACAATGGGCAGAGTTTCTTTCACCCTATGCCCCCTGTTACCTAGCAGTAAAATAGGTACCTGGGTGTTAGTCAGCTGTCACGGGCTGCTTCCTGGGGATGGAGGCCTGGTCGAGGACCGGGCCGCGGGGACACTCAAAGCCCCGAAATCATCTCAAGATCTTTTCCGCTACCACCCATAGGATGGGTATGGTACCAAAATGGTGAGGCGAAACTTGGTATCCACGAACGAGGAAAGAGGACATCCCTACCAACTAAGAATAAGTGGAAAGGTGCTAACTTAACCAGACCACACACTAGAAGGTGAAGGGACGACGACGTTTCGGTCCGTCCTGGACCATTCTCAAGTCTATTGTGATGAGGAAGTAGAGACAGGCAATAAATAGGCAAGAGAGCGGAGGAGCAAAGCAAGCTAAGAAAGGGACTTACTATCCACCGAAGACGCAGTAGAGCTTGACTTCGTCGCCTTCTAGAGCGGTGACTTCGCGGTCGCTGACGTACTGGAGGACTGGAGGCAGGTGTTGTTCAGGGAGGGTGGTCTTGTCGTCTCCTGGGAAGCTGACGTTCAGATACACCCAGTTGCCCATCCGGTACTCAGTCCTGTCCCCCCCACACACACAACCATTAATCAACACTACCTTTTGCTATATTAATGGACAAAACCACAAAATATTGCGTTTTAAAACAATTGAGACATTTAGAAAATATTTTTGTATTTAAAAATTAAATATACTTCTTGAATAGTTTATGAAAAACTAATTATAGATAGCAAGGCGAAATGCTACACGACAGTAGGGATTATATTTACAATTTCCAATTGTCTCTCATTCCCTCATGCGACCACAGTAACTGGGAGCCACGGCCTGTCCATGCGCAGTATGGCCAGTGTAACTGGGGGCCACGACCTGTCCATGCTCAGTATGGCCACAGTGTAACTGGGGGCCACGACCTGTCCATGCTCAGTATGGCCAGTGTAACTGGGGGCCACGGCCTGTCCATGCTCAATATGGCCAGTGTAACTGGGAGCCACGACCTGTCCATGCTCAGTATGGCCAGTGTAACTGGGGGGCCACGGCCTGTCCATGCGCAGTATGGCCACAGTGTAACTGGGGGCCACGGCCTGTTCATGCTCAGTATGGCCACAGTGTAACTGGGGGCCACGGCCTGTCCATGCGCAGTATGGCCACAGTGTAACTGGGGGCCACGGCCTGTCCATGCTCAGTATGGCCACAGTGTAACTGGGGGCCACGACCTGTCCATGCTCAGTATGGCCACAGTTTAACTGGGGGCCACGACCTGTCCATGCTCAGTATGGCCACAGTGTAACTGGGGGCCACGACCTGTCCATGCGCAGTATGGCCACAGTTTAACTGGGGGCCACGACCTGTCCATGCTCAGTATGGCCACAGTGTAACTGGGGGCCACGGCCTGTCCATGCGCAGTATGGCCAGTGTAACTGGGGGCCACGACCTGTCCATGCTCAGTATGGCCAGTGTAACTGGGGGGCCACGGCCTGTCCATGCGCAGTATGGCCACAGTGTAACTGGGAGCCACGACCTGTCCATGCTCAGTATGGCCACAGTGTAACTGGGGGCCACGACCTGTCCATGCTCAGTATGGCCACAGTTTAACTGGGGGCCACGACCTGTCCATGCTCAGTATGGCCACAGTGTAACAGGTCACGCTAAGCGTGCCCAAAGTGAGCCATACGGGCCAAGACCAATCCAAGCTCATGCTTAGCTGACACACACACACACACACACCAAACACTCCTTGTACAACCAATAAACACAATATTAGTGCGAAAGATATGTTAGTTTAGAAGCAAGACAGACTGCCAGAAGGGACACGACTCAGAAACCGGTGTATCATCTCCCGAGTCCAAATGAACTCGAGTATCTAGTCGTTCTTAATGAGTTTAAACCCATCTGTTGCTGCCCGAAGGGTCGTCCTTGACCACTTTCAAGTGGTGTAACCTCATCACCATTTGATAATGGTCCGAAACGTGTCGAGTCTTCATTTTCAGATGTCTGGATTGGGTGTCGACTCTTCCCCGAGATGATTTCGATGCTTAGCGGTCCAGCGGTCTCCAGATGTCGACCATCAGCCAAGTTATTATATAATTTACTCATCGTCCTCATGAACCTTATCCAGGCTATTCATCATGGTGACTAACTTCCGCATGCATGAGTCTGCCGTTGTTAACTTAGTGAATCCTCGAGTATACCCCATGGCGAACTATGGGGTAATGAGTAGTTTATTGTAATCTATGGAGAGCCGAGTGAATCTTATCTGTGTAATCTATGATGGTAGTCTAGCCCGAGTGCATATGGTAGCCCAGGCCGAGTGCATATGGGAGTCCAGGCCGAGTGCATATGGTAGCCCAGGCCGAGTGCATATGGTAGCCCAGGCCGAGTGCATATGGTAGCCCAGGCCGAGTGCATATCGTAGCCCAGGCCGAGTGCATATCGTAGCCCAGGCCGAGAGTGCATATGGTAGCCCAGGCCGAGTGCATTATAGAGTGTGTGGGCACCGTCAATACAGATGACAATTGGGCTGTCTAACAAACTATAAGCCCCTCAAACATCCCTCCACCACAAACCACAAACAAGGGGGTCGAACCCTACCTCCTCGACAAATCGACGATGGAGCCATAATGCCAGAAATTAGAGCCAAGAAAACTGAAACAAAAAATAATGCGGAGAGTTAATTGTGGGGGGGGGGGGGGGGGGTGGGGGGGGGTGGGGGGGGGGGAGGCCATCGAACTCTACACAAGATTAGAGAACCATGTCGTTCCTGACTCCTCGACGTTTGGCGGGAAGTTTGGGGCCCTGTGGCTCGCTTGCTTGCGTGCGCACACACACACACACGTACACACACACACACACACGTTCACACACACACACACACACACGTACGTACACACACACACACACGTACACACACTTGGCATTAGGAAGTGATGTGGTGGAGGCTGACTCCATACACAGTTTCAAGTGTAGATATGATAGAGCCCAGTAGGCTCAGGAACCTGTACACCAGTTGATTGACGGTTGAGAGGCGGGACCAGAGAGCCAGAGCTCAACCCCCGCAAACACAAATAGGTGAGTACACACACACGCACGCAATCTCACCTACGAATTCACACCTATTTTTTCTCGTTCTTAAAATATATAAAATGAAATATATAATATAAAATGAAATATATAATATAAAATGAAATATATAATATAAAATAAATATAATAAATACTAATCATTTAATAACGTTACAAAGCAATTAGTAAAAACCAAATATTGACTAGACATTCTACTTTACAATCCATGGAGGACAGAAGAAAATGTATATATGCTGGTTAGCATTGTAAATGTCTGGCCACGTCTGTGGTAGAAGAAAAAAATGCTGTTCTCATTAGCACACAATTAACAGGATATCTTGAGGTTATCTTGAGATGATTTCGGGGCTTTAGTGTCCCCGCGGCCCGGTCCTCGACCAGGTCTCCACCCCCAGGAAGCAGCCCGTGACAGCTGACTAACACCCAGGTACCTATTTTACTGCTAGGTAACAGGGGCATAGGGTGAAAGAAACTCTGCCCACTGTTTCTCGCCGGCGCCTGGGATCGAACTCAGGACCACAGGATCACAAGTCCAGCGTGCTGTCCGCTTGGCCGACCGGCTCCCCTTTCATAAAGGATTCACAAAGATCTTAAGTGTTTCACTTACGGGTTCTGTACCTCTTATCTTGGTCCTTGATAACCCAAGGTTATCATTGGTCGTCCATACCAATGATAACCTTGCGTTGAGGACGACCTCGTAGCACTTACGACCTCTTAAACTGTTTAATAAATACGGATTACGGCGCCGCGATCGACCTAAGTGGTACAGATCTCTTAAGAGAACAGTTATAATGTTAATAACTCATCAGCGTGAAGGAGACCAATACTTTCCGTATAGTCAATATAGTCTTACGGGATCACCATAGCCCGTGCTACTTGGAACTTTGTTCCAGGTAGCGAATCTTTAACAATAAACAATAATCCGTGTAATCGCCTCGTTAGTGTCTACCAAACTGTTAGTAACGATCTGTTACTAACCTTTCATATACAATATTAACAACAGTATTGTATACTGATACTGTATTACGTATACAATACCAGTCTTATTATTAAGATTAGTCCACAGTTAGACACTCATTACAAGCAAAACTGTCTTAACTACCCAAAGCACAATTATCACAGTAATGGCCTTGTCGTACATCTAAATACTGGGGTGCTCCCAGACGCAGGTTCGAATCCTCGTCACTGCCCTTGTGGATTGGTTCATCTACATACCGGGTTTTGTTTAGTGTTTGTTAATCACACATGTGACACTACCGTGCTCACACACTAGGTACTGAGGCACAGGTGTAGGGAGAGCACACACCAGACACACACACACACACACACACACGTGAGAGTAGTGGGAAAATGGAATGCACTTCAGGAACAGGTTGTGGAAGCAAATACTATTCATAATTTTAAAACCAGGTATGATAGGGAAATGGGACAGGAGTCATTGCTGTAAACAACCGATGCTCGAAAGGCGGGATCCAAGAGTCAATGCTCGATCCTGCAGACACAACTAGGTGAGTACAACTAGGTGAGTACACACACACACACACACACACACACACACACACACACACACATGCGTCAATTATGGCGCCTACGGCAATGTCAAGCTGGTAACGATGTCTGTAACAGGCAGCTCGTCCACCACCTGTAGGCGGCCCTCCTCGTCCTCCACCAAGTACATCTGACGCCCACTGTAGAGAATCTAAGTCAGCACCAACAGTCTTGTAGATCATCTATCTACAACTGCACCATTGCCCCCACAGAGCAAGCTGTTTCTTTAGCCATGGGCGAGACAGCAAATCTGTGTTCAGCGCTCTTGCTACATACACACACACACACACACACACACACACACACACACACACACACACACACACACACACACACACACACACACACACACTACCTACCTACCTTTCGCTTCATTAAAACAGATTAAGAGTACACCATTCTGCTTGTATTTCAATAAATTTGTTTGTAGAGCTCCTCACTATCAAATTAGCCTTATCAGTGGTTCATCCTGATATCCGTGGTTCAGCCCGATACCCGTGGTTCAGCCCGATACCCGTGGTTCAGCCCGATACCCGTGGTTCAATCTCATACCCGTAGGTTCAATCTCATACCCGTAGGTTCAATCTCATACCCGTAGGTTCAATCTCATACCCGTAGGTTCAATCTCATACCCGTAGGTTCAATCTCATACCCGTAGGTTCAATCTCATACCCGTAGGTTCAATCTCATACCCGTAGGTTCAATCTCATACCCGTAGGTTCAATCTCATACCCGTAGGTTCAATCTCATACCCGTAGGTTCAATCTCATACCCGTAGGTTCAATCTCATACCCGTAGGTTCAATCTCATACCCGTAGGTTCAATCTCATACCCGTAGGTTCAATCTCATACCCGTAGGTTCAATCTCATACCCGTAGGTTCAATCTCATACCCGTAGGTTCAATCTCATACCCGTGGTTCAATTCCATACCCGTGGTTCAATCCCATACCCGTAGGTTCAATCCCATACCCGTAGGTTCAATCCCATACCCGTAGGTTCAATCCCATACCCGTAGGTTCAATCTCATACCCGTAGGTTCAATCTCATACCCGTAGGTTCAATCTCATACCCGTAGGTTCAATCTCATACCCGTAGGTTCAATCTCATACCCGTGGTTCGACCTCTCAGTATCTTCATGTCTTCAAGAAACATTGTTTCATGGAAACTGTGCAATCAGCCAGTTACCGCTGGGACTCACGCTAACCGCCTAGATAGCTATAGTCGTCAATTAACTATCTCTTCTAAATACTAAGGTCATGACCTTACCTCTACGGTCTTCCCAAACTCGCTCTACCGCAGGTCAACATTTTATGAGTAACGAGGTAGTGGAACCGGGCCTCTATCACAATAAGGCCTCGTGTTATTGAAACTTAGGTCTACTCAGGTCGGAGAGTAGACACAAAAATGTTGTATCGACGATTGACAACAGTGTTTCCTACCGTCACGTGACTCCAAGTGCTCATACTATACACAAGTGCCATCGTTACCTGCTAAGTGTTCCCTGCGTGTACGATGTCAACGGAGGTAACACAGAAATATATAGTTCATGTTCACCCGGCGCTGACTGAACTACCCCGGGGTCTGTACTGGCCCAGTCCGTCCTCCAAACAGAGATCCAAAAGTGATTCCGTGCACCCGCCAAACCCCCTGTTTTCAAACCCTGAAAAGCGGTTTACACACGACTCTCAACTGCTGACGGTCGAACATATCCGGAACAAGTGCTTCACTGACGAATTTTGTTCGAACCACAACGCTATAAATGCTTCACCCACGTACTACAAATACAAATAATCACCAACAGAACCTAAACACCTAACCTAACCTATGCCTATATATACACAATATGCTAATATATTATAATATTAATTTATACTTGAGAAAATTCCCGTTTTGAAGGAACAGCATGTTAAAATTTATGAATGCGTCTGTGGGGTCGACCGCTGGATGGAATGGACTTGAGTCGAGGACGGGTTGCTGTAAATGCTTCACCCACATACTTCAAACACGAGTAATCGCCAACGGAAGCTAAACACTTAACCTAACCTAACCTACGCCTAACTTTACATAAACATTTAGTGTATAATAAAATTAACATTTTTGAGAACAAACCAAGTTTTAATATAGAGTATGTTAAAACTGTTGAATACATCCGGGCCGCGGCCGGCGCTTTAACAAGCCTGGCCTGAGGACAGGTACCAAGGGCCATGTTGACCAGGGGCCAGATTCACGAAAGCACTTACGCAAGCACTTACGAACGTGTACATCTTTCCTCAATCTTTGACGGCTTTGGTTACATTTATTAAACAGTTTACAAGCATGAAAACTTGCCAATCAACTGTTATTATTGTTATAAACAGCCTCCTGGTGCTTCGGAGCTCATTAACTGTTTAATAATTGTAAACAAAGCCGCCAAAGATTGAGAAAAGATGTACAGGTTTGTAAGTCCTTACTTAAGTGCTTTCGTGAATCTGGCCCCAGGATCACACACTAGAAGGTGAAGGGACGACGACGTTTCAGTCCATCCTGGACCATACTTTAGCCACGTTATTGTGACTCATCGCCTACCAAGAGCCATACCAGACACGCCTTAAGGAAGTCATGGAAGAGGAGTTTCATATTCTACTTCATATATATTGTGTTTATAGCATCAGAGTTTTACACTCTTCCCGCCTCACTAACGCAGTGTACCGACACCCGTTGAAACAGCCGTTGTATCTTCACAGCCACAACAGACCAAGAGATCCCAACAGAGGCAAGCTCTACCTCCTCCCAATCCATCTAATCCAATCAACTGTTCCTTATTATTTGATTAAGATTGTCTTTCATATGATCATATTATTCTTAAAACTCATAATATATAATTGCCTTCAGTGTTAAATTAACAGAAGCATATAAGGAAACTAATCAAATATAGGTTCATAACTCATAACTCATAAACAGATGGTCAGCAAATCAGAACGTGAGGAATGACACCTCCCTCATCCTCGCTATGAGGAGAGTGTGTGAGTGTGTGTGTGTGAGTGTTGGAGAGAGAGAGCACCTGGTGGCGGAGGAAGCAGCACAGGCGTAGAGGGTGTCCTCGGAGGCATCTTCCGGAGTGACGTAACTGAACCATAGCGTCCCCTGCTCGTCCACCGTCAAACGCGGAGAGTTCAGACTTCGCAGACCTCCGTCAGACGTCTGGAAAAAGGGTCATGGATATAGTTTCTCAAGAAAATATGTCAGCATCGCAGTGGGAATAAGTAATGGACTGTTGGCCTTGTGAAAGGTACTGACCTGATGCCAGATTCACGAACCTGTACATCTTTTCTCAATTTTTGGCGGCTTTGTTTACAATTATTAAACAGTTAATGAGCTCCGAAGCACCAGGAGGCTGTTTACAACAATAACAACAGTTGATTGGCAAGTTTTCATGCTTGTAAACTGTTTAATAAATGTAACCAAAGCCGTCAAAGATTGAGGAAAGGTGTACACGTTCGTAAGTGCTTGCATAAGTGCTTTCGTGAATCTGGCCTCAGGTTCGTAAGTGCTTTCGTGAATCTGGCCCCAGGTTCGTAAGTGCTTTCGTAAATCTGGCCCCAGGTTCGTAAGTACTTGCGTAAGTGCTTTCGTGAATCTGGCCCCAGGTTCGTAAGTGCTTGCGTAAGTGCTTTCGTGAATCTGGCCCCAGGTTCGTAAGTGCTTGCATAAGTACTTTCGTGAATCTGGCCCCAGGTTCGTAAGTGCTTGCGTAAGTGCTTTCGTGAATCTGACCCCTGGATTACCCAGTAGACTGTTGGCCTCGTGGAAGGTACTCACCTGGATTACCCAGTAGACTGTTGGCCTCGTGGAAGGTACTCACCTGGATTACCCAGTGGACTGAGGGCTCCGGGTACCCGTCTGGAGGGGTGCAGGGTAGACTAAGCGACTGTCCCAAGGTAGCAGTGACTACCCGCGGCTCAGCTTTGGGAAAGTTACCCATAACGGAGCGCCTGACGGTGGCCACTTCGCTGTGCGCCACGCCGACAGAGTTCTCAGCTATACACTGGTAGCTTCCTGCACCAGGGAGATGGAACAATGAATAAATAAATAAATATGTTTATTCAGGTAAGGTACATACATACAAGTGATGTCACATTAATGGATTGATATATAGATAGAGCTAGTACATACAAGGCCTAAAGCCACTATTACGCAATGCGTTTCGGGCAACACGAATCACGTGTACAAGCTATCTTGAGGTTATCTTGAGATGATTTCGGAGCTTTTAGTGTCCCCGCGGCCCGGTCCTCGACCAGGTCTCCACCCCCAGGAAGCAGCCCGTGACAGCTGACTAACACCCAGGTACCTATTTTACTGCTAGGTAACAGGGGCATAGGGTGAAAGAAACTCTGCCCATTGTTTCTCGCCGGTGCCTGGGATCGAACCCAGGTCCACAGGATCACAAGTCCCGCGTGCTGTCCGCTCGGCCGACCGGCTCAGCTTGACACATTCATCACACACACAGATCACACTAACGTGATGCATCAAATGAACAAATCCACAAGGGCCGTGACGAGGATTCGAAATAGGAGATTGTAACTATGAAATATATATATATATATAAGCTTGAGCCTATAGTTTAAACCTATAGACTGGTCGCTTGGGATGCTCCCGGACGCAGGTTCGAATCCTCGTCACGGCCCTTGTGGATTTGTTCATACAAGTCATCCTAATGAGTTATCCAATTAGGTCTTATTACAGTGAAGTGATGCTCGTATTCAGTGCCACAGGACAGTGACTAATGCACAATAGGTCGAAACTGTAAACTAAAGCCCATTTTATATATATATATATATATATATATATATATATATATATATATATATATATATATATATATATGTCGTACCTAGTAGCCAGAACGCACTTGTCAACCTACTATGCAAGGCCCGATTTGCCTAATAAGCCAAGTTTTCATGAATTAATTGTTTTTCGACTACCTAACCTACCTAACCTAACCTAACCTAACTTTTTCGGCTACCTAACCTAACCTATAAAGTTAGGTTAGGTTAGGTAGGGTTGGTTAGGTTCGGTCATATATCCACGTTAATTTTGACTCCAATAAAAAAAATTGACCTCATACATAATGAAATGGGTAGCTAAATCATTTCATAAGAAAAAAAATTGCGAAAATATATTAATTCAGGAAAACTTGGCTTATTAGGCAAATCAGGCCTTGCATAGCAGGCCGAGTACGACGTTCTGGCTACTAGGTACAACATATATATATATATATATATATATATATATATATATATATATATATATATATATATATATATATATATGTCGTACCTAATAGCCAGAACGCACTTCTCAGCCTACTATTCAAGGCCCGATTTGCCTAATAAGCCAAGTTTTCATGAATTAATGTTTTTTCGTCTACCTAACCTACCTAACCTAACCTAACCTAGCTTTTTTTGGCTACCTAACCTAACCTAACCTATAAATATAGGTTAGGTTAGGTTAGGTAGGGTTGGTTAGGTTCGGTCATATATCTACGTTAATTTTAACTCCAATAAAAAAAAATGGACCTCATACATAGAGAAAAGGGTTGCTTTATCATTTCATAAGAAAAAAATTATAGTAAATATATTAATTCAGGAAAACTTGGCTTATTAGGCAAATCAGGCCTTGAATAGTAGGCTGAGAAGTGAGTTCTGGCTACTAGGTACGACATATATATATATATATATATATATATATATATATATATATATATATATATATATATATATATATATATATATTCATATATATATATATATTTCATGAGATTACAATTTACTACATCAGATATACAAATTTCAATTTACGAATTTAAAATGCAGCCGTACAAGGCATGGATAGGTTGATAAGAGGAAGGGAGCCAATTATCAAGGAAAAGAGCCACCCATTACGACTATATAGCACTTAGAAGATATCAGGATAACCATTTAAGATAAGACGGGGGAAAGGAATAGTACCCAACCACTTGGATGGGTTCTTAAGAGACGCAGCTAAACCAGAATTATTCTACATTCATTAAATACTAACAAGCCAATTTAGGGTAGTTTGATGAGGTTGATACGATACCTTCGTCTTCAGGGCGCGGGTCGTGGAAGATTAAGCTGCCTTCTCCTTCAATCATCTCTACTCGACCTCTCTCTTCCTCACCGTCTTGAAGATCCAACTTATCTCCATCTTTCAACCAGTAGTAACTGCAAAAGCAATATTATTAATACAATACAATACAATTTTATTTAGGTTAGGTTAGGTTAGGTTAGGTTAGGTTAGGTAAGGTACATACATACAATGCCTAAAGCCACTATTACGCAAAGCGTTTCGGGCATTAACATCTTTATAGACAATTTACAATGACCAAGTTTACCTAATCTCCATAAGATCTTCTTCTTGAGGTGATTTCGGGGCTTTTTAGTGTCCCCGCGGCCCGGTCCTCGACCAGGCCTCCACCCCCAGGAAGCAGCCCGTGACAGCTGACTAACACCCAGGTACCTATTTTACTGCTAGGTAACAGGGGCATAGGGTGAAAGAAACTCTGCCCATTGTTTCTCGCCGGCGCCTGGGATCGAACCCAGGACCACAGGATCATAAGTCCAGTGTGCTGTCCGCTCGGCCGACCGGCTCTCGTCCTCCCGTAAACTCTAGTCTCTAATAAAACTCTAATTAAATTCTAATTCTCTGATGTAATAAATAATAACTCTAATAAACCCTAACCTAATCAGTTAGGGTTTTATTAGTTGTTATTACATTAGAGAATTAGAGTTTTATTAGAGATTAGAGTTTAGGTAAACTCTAATCTCTAATAAAACTCTAATTCTCTAATGTAATAAATGATAACTAATAAAACCCTAACTGATTAGGTTAATTACCAAGTTTACCTAATCAGTTAGGGTTTTATTAAGAGTGAGGCGCTGCTCAGTCGCTGTCACATAAGTCAAGGGATCATACACAAGTCTATAGGTTTAAACTGTAGGCTGAAGCTTTATATATATATATATATGTGTGTATATCACGAAAATAAACACGTGATTAAGAATGTGACAATGTCAGACCACGAAGGAAAAATGAAACAGGAAATTTCCTTAAGTACTTTCGTATATTAAATACATCTTCAGAAGGTCATTTACAGATCGAGTGATGGGTATAAATAGGCAGGAGAGAGTGGTGAAGTAAGGTGAGGTACAATACTTGGACAACGCAGAAGGCCCATTGGCCCATCAGATGCACCCAATTGGCCCATCCGATGTAGCCCAATGGCCCATCTGATATAGCAGACATACAAGCATAATACATAGGTAATTATAACATAAAGAGGTAAATATATACAATAAATTAGTGAGACAAATGTTTTTCAATGAAACATAGAAAGAAGATGTATTTAATATACGAAAGTACTTAAGGAAATTTCCTGTTTCATTTTTCCTTCGTGGTCTGACATTGTCATATATATATATATATATATATATATATATATATATATATATATATATATATATATATATATATATATATATATATATTTCATAGTTACAATCTCCTATTTCATATATACATGTTTCAATTTACGAATTTGTAAATGTGACGATTTACTGTTTACAGCCACACAAGGCCGGGATGGAGACATGAAAGATTTACTGTTTACAGCCACACAAGGCAGGGATGGAGACATGAAAGATTTACTGTTTACAGCCACACAAGGCCGGGATGGAGACATGAAAGATTTACTGTTTACAGCCACACAAGGCAGGGATGGAGACATGAAAGATTTACTGTTTACAGCCACACAAGGCAGGGATGGAGACATGAAAGATGTAGTGTTTACAGCCACACAAGGCAGGGATGGAGACATGAAAGATGTAGTGTTTACAGCCACACAAGGCCGGGATGGAGACATGAAAGATGTAGTGTTTACAGCCACACAAGGCCGGGATGGAGACATGAAAGATGTAGTGTTTACAGCCACACAAGGCCGGGATGGAGACATGAAAGATTTACTGTTTACAGCCACACAAGGCAGGGATGGAGACATGAAAGATGTAGTGTTTACAGCCACACAAGGCCGGGATGGAGACATGAAAGATGTAGTGTTTACAGCCACACAAGGCAGGGATGGAGACATGAAAGATGTAGTGTTTACAGCCACACAAGGCCGGGATGGAGACATGAAAGATGTAGTGTTTACAGCCACACAAGGCCGGGATGGAGACATGAAAGATGTAGCTTAAAAAAATCCTTCTTTGTTCTTTAATATGTTTAGGAAATTTAGGACCAATTGTTTGGAAGTCTTTCAATATATCAGATTTAATGATATAGTAACACTGTTGATTGTACAAGAGGCCATGGTCTAAATAAAATATGTACACCATGGGAGTACATTTAGTAGAGTGTACCTGAGGACTACCATCTCATTAGTGGCCTCGGCAAGGACAGGAAGCCGCCGGCTTGTCAAAGATCCCTTCCAAGGGATCGAACAAGCCTGAATGGTCCCCAGGACTATATGCAACTAAAAACAAACAGCTTCTACAGTTTCTCTATCACAGGACCAATCATTTTATATCTTATTATATATACATCTTTTTTTTACGACTTCGACTGGTAGGCGGTTCCATGGGTTAATAACCCTATAGGTGAAAAAATCTAATGGTTTCAGTCGTACTGTGTGGCTTGTTGAGCTGGAAGCTGTTGCCCTTTGTACTTGTTTCATCTGACCTTTGGAAGAATTGGTCAGGATGAACATCCTCCAAATTGTTCAGTATATTAAGCAACCGATGAGTCACAATAACGTGGCTGAAGTATGTTGACCAAACCACACACTAGGAAGTGAAGGGACGACGACGACTTTTCGGTCCGTCCTGGATCATTCTCAAATCGATTTGAGGATGATCCAAGACGGACCGAAACGTCGTCGTCCCTTCACCTTCTAGTGTGTGGTCTGGCCAACACTAATGTTTACATATACGTGCTGACCTGGGCTCAGGGAGTGCGTCGGCGCGGCACGGTAGAGTGAAGGGCTCCGGTGCCTGGTCCGGGTCGTGGTTCACAGTAAACAGTACCTCCTCCTTCGGGGGCTGGGCCTCCAGCAGCGGTGGAATGGTCACTGCGGGAGAGAACTTGGTCAAGCTAGTGTCATCACCTCATCGCCCTCATGACGGGTGACGGCTCCTCCCTCATCTCAGCTTCTGTACCATCACAACACTCATCATTCTTCAGCTTCCTTATCATTACACAACCGACCACATTATAGCTTCTTTAACATCACAGGACCAATCATTCTATAGCTTCTCTATCACGGGACCAATCATTCTATAGCTTCTCTATCACAGGACCAATCATTTTATAGCTTCTCTATCACAGGACCAATCATTTTATAGCTTCTCTATCACAGGACCAATCATTCTATAGCTTTATCACAGGACCAATCATTCTATAGCTTCTCTATCACAGGATCAATCATTTTATAGCTTCTCTATCACAGGACCATTCTATAGCTTCTCTATCACAGGATCAATCATTTTATAGCTTCTCTATCACAGGACCATTCTATAGCTTCTCTATCACAGGATCAATCATTTTATAGCTTCTCTATCACAGGACCATTCTATAGCTTCTCTATCACAGGACCATTCTATAGCTTCTCTATCACAGGACCAATCATTCTATAGCTTCTCTATCACAGGACCAATCATTCTACACCTTCTCTATCACAGGACCAATCTAGAGTTTAGAATACACATACTCAGGAGCTGTTCAAAAAACATGCAGATGTTGACTGGAGACTGAGTAGTCTACACGAGTACTGCGTGCACTAAACATTACTGGACCTCATGCTTGCTGGAGAAGGCACAGACAGAGGGCCTGAATAAGTATTGAGACACAAGCATTGATTTTAAAATATTTTACAAGCATTTTAGAATGACATCAAGAATAACAGTGAAAGCAAGAAGCATTGCTAGGATGTGACCTGTTCTTTGGAGGACTTGAATAAACATATTCACCATCCACCACCACTGGCCACCACCCTCCACCACCACTGGTGGCTACCACCACCCTCCACCACCACTGGTGGCTACCACCACCCTCCACCACCACTGGTGGCTACCACCTTCCACCACCACTGGCCACCACCCTCCACCACCACTGGTGGCTACCACCACCCTCCACCACCACTGGCCACCACCCTCCACCACCACTGGTGGCTACCACCCTCCACCACCACTGGTGGCTACCACCACCCTCCACCACCACTGGTGGCTACCATCCTCCACCACCACTGGTGGCTACCACCACCCTCCACCACCACTGGTGGCCACCATCCTCCACCACCACCACTGGCTACCACCATCCACCACCACTGGTGGCCACCACCCTCCACCACCACTGGTGGCTACCACCCTCCACCACCACTGGTGGCTACCACCACCCTCCACCACCACTGGTGGCTACCATCCTCCACCACCACTGGTGGCTACCATCCTCCACCACCACTGGTGGCCACCACCCTCCACCACCACCACTGGCTACCACCATCCACCACCACTGGTGGCCACCACCCTCCACCACCACTGGTGGCTACCATCCTCCACCACCACTGGTGGCTACCATCCTCCACCACCACTGGTGGCTACCATCCTCCACCACCACTGGTGGCTACCATCCTCCACCACCACTGGTGGCTACCATCCTCCACCACCACTGGTGGCCACCATCCTCCACCACCACTGGTGGCCACCACCCTCCACCACCACTGGTGGCTACCACCATCCACCACCACTGGTGGCTACCATCCTCCACCACCACTGGTGGCTACCATCCTCCACCACCACTGGTGGCTACCATCCTCCACCACCACTGGTGGCCACCATCCTCCACCACCACTGGTGGCTACCATCCTCCACCACCACTGGTGGCTACCATCCTCCACCACCACTGGTGGCCACCATCCTCCACCACCACTGGTGGCTACCATCCTCCACCACCACTGGTGGCTACCATCCTCCACCACCACTGGTGGCTACCATCCTCCACCACCACTGGTGGCTACCATCCTCCACCACCACTGGTGGCCACCATTCTCCACCACCACTGGTGGCTACCACCACCCTCCACCACCACCACTGGTGGCCACCACTGGCCACCACCCTCCAACCACCACTAGTGGCCACCATTCTCCACCACTGGTGGCCACCACCCTCCACCACCACTGGCCACCACCCTCCACCACCACTGGTGGCCACCATTCTCCACCACTGGTGGCCACCACCCTCCACCACCACTGGCCACCACCCTCCACCACCACTGGTGGCCACCATCCTCCACCACCACTGGTGGCTACCATCCTCCACCACCACTGGTGGCTACCATCCTCCACCACCACTGGTGGCTACCATCCTCCACCACCACTGGTGGCCACCATCCTCTACCACCACTGGTGGCCACCATCCTCCACCACCACTGGTGGCCACCATCCTCCACCACCACTGGTGGCCACCATCCTCCACCACCACTGGTAGCCACCATCCTCCACCACTGGTGGCCACCACCCTCCACCACCACTGGCCACCACTCTCCACCACCACTGGTGGCTACCATCCTCCACCACCACTGGTGGCTACCATCCTCCACCACCACTGGTGGCTACCATCCTCCACCACCACTGGTGGCCACCATCCTCCACCACTGGTGGCCACCACCCTCCACCACCACTGGTGGCTACCACCACCCTCCACCACCACCACTGGTGGCTACCACCACCCTCCACCACCACCACTGGTGGCTACCACCACCCTCCACCACCACCACTGGTGGCCACCATCCTCCACCACCACCACTGGTCACCACTACAGCATAATACAACAGGCTAGACCCACAAGTCATAATTCTCGTTATCTGGGACAGGAAGCCTGCAGTTAGGCCTACTGCATATCCAGGATGCAGTTCACATCAATTGCCGAAATTCCGGATATCAATATGATGCAAGGTGAACAGGTGCATCTGGTGAAAGGATACAAGTTTAACCTTCGTTGTCTACCCGGGGGACTGAACCTGGGGATGCTAGAGTGTTAGCCGAGGACGTCGGCTACTATGCTAAACCAACCCGTTCTCGCACTTTCGTACAGTCAATATTGACTTATTAAATAAGTGCATATGTGACATACTAATTTAATGTGAATATTTTAGTTTACCTTGAAAAGCTTCATAGAAAACACCGACCTTACCTAACCTTCTTAGTATGTTAAGATAAGCATCTTATTGCTTCGTAATTACAATTATTACTTAACCTATACCTATAATAGGTTAACCTATACCTATAATAAGTTAACCTATACCTATAATAGGTTAACCTATACCTATAATAGGTTAACTTAACCTATACCTATAATAGGTTAAGTAATAATTGTAAATAAGAAGCAATAGGATGCTTATCTTAACATACTAAGAAGGTTAGGTAAGGTCGGTGTTTTCTATGAAGCTTTTCAAGGTAAACTAAAATATTCACATTAAATTAGTATGTCACATATGCCCTTATTTAATAAGTCAATATTGACTATACGAAAGTGCGAGAACGGGTTGGCTAAAACTGTTGAGAGCATTCCAACCCTAGAGTACCGCCCGTCCTGGCTAGCTACAGGTATGTGTAAGCTGGAACATGCATATCACTCTACATATGTTGAGAGCGCACATACATTCCATTGAAAGTATCGTTACCATACAAGGTGGCTAATGTGAGATGGAGCACATGAACCGGTCCCTGGGTCATGTGGTCCAGTAAACGATGGACCGTATGAACCAGTCTCTGGCAGTAAAGTGTGAACTGTTTATATCTCGTCTAGACTCCAATAGCCCCTTGCTTCACGTATCTCAAACCTGCTTCACACTAGTTCAAGTGTGCATTCCTTAGCTCAAACTTGCCTCCTAAGATCAGTTATCAAATGAAGTCCCCAAGCCGGAGAGGCTATGTAGAACTATCAGTGTCGCACATATTCACATCACGCTAAATGTTACTAAGTATGCCAAGCATGTTTCCTCCAAGGAGTGCCGGATCAACCAGGCTGTGGTGGGTATGTGGGCCTGCGGGCCGCTCCAAGCAACAGCCTAGTGGACCAAACTCTCACAAGTCAAGCCTGGCCTCGGGCCGGGCTGTGGTGGGTATGTGGGCCTGTGGGCCGCTCCAAGCAACAGCCTGGTGGACCAAACTCTCACAAGTCAAGCCTGGCCTCGGGCCGGGCTGTGGTGGGTATGTGGGCTTGCGGGCCGCTCCAAGCAACAGCCTGGTGGACCAAACTCTCACAAGTCAAGCCTGGCCTCGAGCCGGGCTTGGACAGTAGAAGAACTCCCAGAGAGCGAGAGAGAGAGAGAGAGAGGGAGAGAGAGGGAGAGGGAGAGGGAGAGGGAGAGAGAGAGAGGGAGAGGGGGAGGGGGAGAGAGACAGAGAGGGAGAGGGGAGAGAGAGAGAGAGAGAGAGGGAGAGGGGAGAGAGAGAGAGAGAGAGAGAGAGAGGGAGAGGGGGAGAGAGAGGGAGAGAGAGAGAGGGAGAGGGGGAGGGGGAGGGAGAGGGAGAGGGAGAGAGAGAGAGGGAGAGGGAGAGGGGGAGGGAGAGGGAGAGAGAGAGAGGGAGAGGGGGAGAGAGAGGGGAGAGAGAGAGAGAGAGAGAGAGAGAGAGAGAGAGAGAGAGAGAGAGAGAGAGAGAGAGAGAGAGAGAGAGAGAGAGAGAGAGAGAGAGAGAGAGAGAGAGAGAGAGAGAGAGAGAGAGAGAGAGAGAAATCGAGGGCCATACCCTGGAAACACAAACCGAAACTGTCTCAATTTTCCGCTTGTAACAACTTGTAATAAAGTTGTTACATCTTGGCTTAATGTGTTTATGACGTATTGGAACGTTGTTACAACTTGATATATTGGTTGTTATAACTGGTTAGGTGGTGTTAAAACTTGTTCGAACGTTGTACCAACGTCGTAGTTTCGGTGTGTGTTTGGCGGGTAGGAATCACAATAGTTCGCGTCAGTCGACTCCACTGAGATAGCAGGAAACTTACGAAGTGTGAAAGAAGCGGGGAATGAACCGATACCTTCTTACCCACTGGGAAAGAAAGTGGATACGAACAAGATTTACATTTGTGACTAAGATACAGCCGTGCCTGTACCACCGAACTATGTAACAGCCTTCACAGTCTCAGCATGAGAGAAAGAACGACAGTGGACAACAGGAAAACAGCTGGTAGGAGGCTGGACATGTCCTCGAACGGAGAAGAAAAAGACAGAGGGAAGAGCTGAGAAGAAAGATAGAGACGAGAAGGGAAGACACACACAGAGGGGACTGAAGAGGGAGGAGATGTAGAGGTGTCACTTAGACGACAGGTAGGAGACGTCTGAAGGAAGGGTGAAAACATTAGTGATCCACGAGGAAGACCCTTTAGTTTCAGAACTCAGAGGACTGGAAGACAAGGAGCTGGTAGTAGTAGTGTTGGAGTCTAGCCTGGAAGCTGTTGCAGAACTGAGGAGAAGTGAAATGCAAGACACGAACATGTCAAAGAAACATTTAAGACAATTTGCAGGCGATGAGTCACAATAACGTGGCTAAAGTATGTTGACCAGACCACACACTAGAAGGTGAAGGGACGACGACGTTTCGGTCCGTCTTGGACCATTCTCAAATTGAGACCACACTCTAGAATGTGGGACGACGACGTTTCGGTCCGTCTTGGACCATTCTCAAGTCGATTCTCAATCGACTTGAAACTGAAGTCTTCTTTCTTCTAAGAAACTGAAGTCTTCTTTCTTCTGGGAAGCTAGGGGTCTTCATTCTTCTGTCTTCTACGTGGGTCTGCTCTGAAGCTTGCAGGGATTCCACCACTTATAAATGAGCACAATTAGGTCCCCAAGCCACACTGTTTTAGACTCAAAAGATGGTCTCCCTCTCGGCCTAGCCTGAACACCAAACCATCCGTCAAGGAAGACCCTTCAGCGGGCCTCAATTGACCCAAGCGAGATCCCTATCTTAACACGTACAACGTCTGGAGAGGGATAGTAGATAGGGCCGAGGCATCCCTCACTATCCCCAGGGAGCCATGTCATACCCCCACCACGTCAAGGCGACACATTTGAGGAGTTACTAAACTCAAACCTGTCTTAATTCGGTCAAACCTGCATACCTCAGATTAAATGTGCCTTCCTCACTAGCAGTAGAAGGCTGAGTGTCGAGCTGCGAGAGTATGAGAGGTGAGAATGAGTGTCAGAATGAGGGAATGAGATGGGACTTGGAGGCTAGATGAGGCACTCAACCCTATGTGTTGTAAGATATTTGATTCCCCCTACAGAATCGTAGGGGTTTATATCGTGTTGTAAACGAACTCTAAGGCCACTTTACCGCCAGAGGGCTCACTACCCGCTCACACAGACACCAGCATACTCACTAGCATACCCGCAACCTCTCTAGTAATTACCTTCTATATCCAAAGGAGCCACTGAGGATGGAGATGGGGAGAAAAAATTACTTTATGAGTAAACACAATTGGGAGAAAAGTTCATGATAATTAGTTGTAAATCTGAGTAAAAATGTAAATTGTATTAACTTAATATGAACATCGTGCATGTTTTTGTTAATAATTCTTGAATATAATTACACTATTGTGAAAATATCATTTCTTGCTTTTCTTTTTAGTTTTAACATCTTGTGTGAACTTTAGCTTGTTGACTAGACCACACACTAGAAGGTGAAGGGACGACGACGTTTCGGTCCGTCCTGGACCATTCTCAAGTCGACTTGAGAATGGTCCAGGACGGACCGAAACGTCGTCGTCATCGTCCCTTCACCTTCTAGTGTGTGGTCTGGTCAACATCTTGTGTGAACTTTAGCTTTGTAGTCAAGTGTTTAGACCTACAGCGAGAAGGCTCCCGCCCGCTGGTCGCCGCATCAACACCTCTAGCAAGAACCTTGCTATAGCAGCTATGGTTCCTTGACTGGAGTGACTCCGTGGTCGCTGGGAGCGAGACTCAGGGGAAGCAAGAGTGAGGTCAACTTACCTGCGGCCAAGACCAGTGGCGTCGTGAACCACAATACCACTAGTGTGAACCACGTCGGCGCCATCCGTCGCGGGGCGCACATTTTCACCTTGCTGACCTCCTGTGGGAGAGATCACATCTTTACAAACCTAAATCAGGACTCAAAACCACCTAAACAGCTCTCGCTAGACCAGTAAATGGAATATGCAGCACCTGCCTGGAGTCCCTACCTTGTGAAATATAAAAGTAAAGTTGAAAAAAGTGCAGAGATTTGTAACTAGTGCCAGAGATTATAGGGTTATGAGGATAGGCTGAAGGAACTGGATCTCACAACCTTGGAGGACAGAACCCTGGAAACACAAACCGAAACTGTCTCTATTTTCCGCTTGCAACAACTTGTAATAAAGTTGTTACATCTTGGCTTAACGTGTTTATGACGTATTAGAACGTTGTTACAACTTGCTAAACCCTGGAAACACAAACCGAAACTGTCTCTATTTTCCGCTTGCAACAACTTGTAATAAAGTTGCTACATCTTGGCTTAACGTGTTTATGACGTATTAGAACGTTGTTACAACTTGCTATATTGGTTGTTATAACTGGTTAGGAGGTGTTAAAACTTGTTCGAACGTTGTACCAACGTCGTAGTTTCGGTGTGTGTTTACCGAGGGTAATAGGCAAAATGGACAAAGACAGTCTCTAAGTTGAGAGAAAGTAGGACAAGATACAAGTGGAAGCTGGAGTCACAGATTAGTCGAAGGATTATAAGGAACTACTGGTACCTTGTACGGGGGGGGGGGAGGTTATCTTGAGGTTATCTTGAGATGATTTCGGGGCATTAGTGTCCCCGCGGCCCGGTCCTCGACCAGGCCTCCATCCCCAGGAAGCAGCCCGTGACAGCTGACTAACACCCAAGTACCTATTTTACTGCTAGGTAACAGGGGCATAGGGTGAAAGAAACTCTGCCCATTGTTTCTCGCCGGCGCCTGGGATCGAACCCGGGACCACAGGATCACAAGTCCAGCGTGCTGTCCGCTCGGCCGACCGGCTCCCTGGGAAAGAGGTCAACACGTGGAAGCCACTAAGGGAAGACGTTGTAGAAGCCACCTCCAGTCACTACTGAAAGATCCTGTGGTCCCGGGTTCGATCCCCGGCGCCGGCGAGAAACAATGGCAGAGTTTTTTTCACCCTATGCCCCTGTTACCTAGCAGTAAAATAGGTACCTGGGTGTTAGTCAGCTGTTGCGGGCTGCTTCCTGGGGGTGGAGGCCTGGTCGAGGACCGGGCCGCGGGGACACTAATGCCCCGAAATCATCTCAAGATAACCTCAAGATAACGGCTACCAGCAGCCGGGGGCATGAAGATCTACACCTCACTTCCCTATAGACACTAATAGGTAGCTAACTGATAGGTCAGCACCCCACTCCGTCACCCACTCCGTCACCCACTCCGTCACCCTCCCGTCACCCTCCCCACCCTCCGTCACCCACTCCGTCACCCACTCCGTCACCCACTCCGTCACCCTCCCGTCACCCTCCCGTCACCCTCCCGTCACCCACTCCGTCACCCACTCCGTCACCCACTCCGTCACCCTCCCGTCACCCTCCCGTCCCTCCCGTCACCCTCCCGTCACCCACCCTCCCGTCACCCTCCCGTCACCCTCCCGTCACCCTCCCGTCACCCTCCCGTCACCCACTCCGCCCCTCCACAACCACAACAGTTTCCTTAAGTAATATGTAAATGACATATCCTGGCGGTGTATTTTTTGCCTGTTGAGCGTCCACAGTGTCTCTCGCCGCTATGCATATGATATGAAGGAGATTTGCATGTGGAATTACCTCGTCTCAGTCAGCCCTCTACACTAAGACCACAACAGTACACGACTGGTGCCTCAGTCTGTCTCTAGGGGCGGCACTAAGTCACTAGGGGCGGCAATATGTCCCTAGGGGCGACACTAAGTCACTAGGGGCGGCACTAAGTCACTAGGGGCGGCACTAAGTCACTAGGGGCGGCAATATGTCCCTAGGGGCGACACTAAGTCACTAGGGGTAGCACTAAGTCACTAGGGGCGGCACTAAGTCACTAGGGGCGGCACTAAGTCACTAGGGGTAGCACTAAGTCACTAAGTCACTAGGGGCGGCACTAAGTCACTAGGGCGGCACTAAGTCACGGCACTAAGTCACTAGGGGCGGCACTAAGTCACTAGGGGCGGCACTAAGTCACTGGGGGCGGCACTAAGTCACTAGGGGTAGCACTAAGTCACTAGGGGAGGCACTAAGTCACTAGGGGCGGCACTAAGTCACTAGGGGCGGCACTAAGTCACTGGGGGCGGCACTAAGTCACTAGGGGCGGCACTAAGTCACTAGGGGTAGCACTAAGTCACTAGGGGCGACACTAAGTCACTAGGGGCGGCACTAAGTCACTAGGGGCGGCACTAAGTCACTAGGGGTAGCACTAAGTCACTAGGGGTAGCACTAAGTCACTAGGGGCGGCACTAAGTCACTAGGGGCGGCACTAAGTCACTAGGGGTAGCACTAAGTCACTAGGGGCGGCACTAAGTCACTAGGGGCGGCACTAAGTCACTGGGGGCGGCACTAAGTCACTAGGGGCGGCACTAAGTCACTAGGGGCGGCACTAAGTCACTAGGGGTAGCACTAAGTCACTAGGGGCGGCACTAAGTCACTAGGGGCGGCACTAAGTCACTAGGGGTAGCACTAAGTCACTAGGGGCGGCACTAAGTCACTGGGGGCGGCACTAAGTCACTAGGGGCGACACTAAGTCACTAGGGGCGGCACTAAGTCACTAGGGGCGGCACTAAGTCACTAGGGGCGGCACTAAGTCACTAGGGGCGGCACTAAGTCACTAGGGGCGGCACTAAGTCACTAGGGGCGGCACTAAGTCACTAGGGGCGACACTAAGTCACTAGGGGCGGGTCACTAGGGGGCACTAAGTCACTAGGGGCGGCACTAAGTCACTAGGGGCGGCACTAAGTCACTAGGGGCGGCACTAAGTCACTAGGGGCGGCACTAAGTCACTAGCGGCACTAAGTCACTAGGGGCGGCACTAAGCACTAAGTCACTAGGGGCGGCACTAAGTCACTAGGGGCGGCACTAAGGGCGGCACTAAGTCACTAGGGGGGCGACACTAAGTCACTAGGGGCGGCACTAAGTCACTAGGGGCGGCACTAAGTCACTAGGGGCGGCACTAAGTCACTAGGGGCGACACTAAGTCACTAGGGGCGGCACTAAGTCACTAGGGGCGGCACTAAGTCACTAGGGGCGGGCTAGGGGGACACTAAGTCACTAGGGGCGGCACTAAGTCACTAGGGGCCGCACTAAGTCACTAGGGGGACACTAAGTCACTAGGGCGGCACTAAGTCACTAGGGGCCGCACTAAGTCACTAGGGGCGACACTAAGTCACTAGGGGCGGCACTAAGTCACTAGGGGGCGACACTAAGTCACTAGGGGCGGCACTAAGTCACTAGGGGCGGCACTAAGTCACTAGGGGCGGCACTAAGTCACTAGGGGCGACACTAAGTCACTAGGGGCGGCACTAAGTCACTAGGGGTAGCACTAAGTCACTAGGGGCGGCACTAAGTCACTAGGGGCGGCACTAAGTCACTAGGGGCGGCACTAAGTCACTAGGGGCGGCACTAAGTCACTAGGGGCGGCACTAAGTCACTAGGGGCGGCACTAAGTCACTAGGGGCGGCACTAAGTCACTAGGGGCCGCACTAAGTCACTAGGGGCGGCACTAAGTCACTAGGGGCCGCACTAAGTCACTAGGGGCGACACTAAGTCACTAGGGGCGGCACTAAGTCACTAGGGGCGGCACTAAGTCACTAGGGGGCGACACTAAGTCACTAGGGGCGACACTAAGTCACTAGGGGCGACACTAAGTCACTAGGGGCGGCACTAAGTCACTAAGGGCGGCACTAAGTCACTAGGGGCGGCACTAAGTCACTAGGGGCGGCACTAAGTCACTAGGGGCGGCACTCACTAGGGCGGCACTAAGTCACTAAGGGCGGCACTAAGTCACTAGGGGCGGCACTAAGTCACTAGGGGCGGCACTAAGTCACTAAGGGCGACACTAAGTCACTAGGGGCGACACTAAGTCACTAGGGGCGGCACTAAGTCACTAGGGGCGGCACTAAGTCACTAGGGGCGACACTAAGTCTGTCACTAAGGACAGCACTAAGATTAGTAACATCAATTTAGTTTAAAAACTTATCTTAAGATTTCTCGGTCTTTTATCAATGAAAATAAACCGTTTAGTGTGAGAAATACGGTAAATTATTAGTAAAATACTTGTAAAGTAAAAAATAAAGCATATATATAAAGAAATAAAGTGTAAAGTAATGATATAAGGTGAAGGGAACAGGAGGCTGAACACAAGGTACCATCTTGGAGGTGAAATAAAGTGTAAAGTAATGATATAAGGTGAAGGGAACAGGAGGCTGAACACAAGGTACCATCTTGGAGGTGAAATAAAGTGTAAAGTAATGGTATAAGGTGAAGGGAACAGGAGGCTGAACACAAGGTACCATCTTGGAGGTGAAATCCTTCAAGAGTCAAGTAGAAAGATTTAGGAGCTGATGTAGAATCACACCGAACCTGTCCCCAGAAGCCCATATCAAAAGAATTAAGCACAAGACGTAGTTAGAGAAAATTCAGAGGTATGCCACCAGACTAGTCCCAGAACTGAGAGGTATGAGCTACGAGGACAGGCTACGGGAGCTAAATCTCACGTCCTTGGAAGACAGAAGAGCAAGGGGAGACATGATTACCACTTACAAAATTATGAGGGGAATACAGACCAAATGGACCAAGACAAACTGTTTAGCACGGGTAGGACACGAACAAGGGGACACAGGTGGAAACTGAGTACCCAAATGAGCCACAGAGACGTTAGAAGGAACTTTTTCAGTGTCAGAGTAGTTAGTAAATGGAATGCATTAGGAAGTGATGTGGTGGAGGCTGACTCCATACACAGTTTCAAGTGTAGATATGATAGAGCCCAATAGGCTCAGGAACCTGTACACCTGTTGACTGACGGTTGAGAGGTGGGACCAAAGAGCCAGAGCACAACCCCCACAAGTACAAGTAGGTGAGTACGTACGTAC